TGGCCCGGCCTTTTCTCGCTGCGGTGCCCGCCGCTGTGGTGGGGTTTCCCCTCAGCCTCGGCGCCCGCCGGTGCTGCAGCGGCAAAGCGCAGGGGGCTCGGGGCGGGGACCCTGCTCGGCAGAGAGCTGTTAGTTTGGCCCCGAGGCTGCGTTACCTCAGCGGGGGCGCGGGAAGGGGCAGCGTTTTGGCAGAGATACTCTGCAGTCGGTAAGAGACAGAACACGGGTTTCTTTGTTTGGCACAGAACTAAAGTAAGTGTTGTGGTGGCAAGTTTAAACTTCCAAGTGTATAAGTGGGCACCCCACCACAACTTGCAGGAGCAACTCTGGGATAGTTGGTGGGAATTGCTGGAAAAGTTTGTATTTCCTGAAAGGAAAGCAAGGTAAAATCTTTAATTAAACAATTCAAATATATACAGCCTCTGTAGTGAATAATTTCTATTATTAACTAACCTCTTGAGCAGTAGCAGTTCAGGAAAATGGTCCTACAGTTGGACTTTGGGCACAGCCCTCGCAGCTTGCGCCCCAGCGTTGACTTGCCTGTCAGTTCTTGGATTACAAGCTCGTTCTAGCATAAGCCTTCCATTTTTAGTATTTTTAGGCTCTTCAGCAGATTATGAAGGGCTCTGAAAAATAAGTAAAACAAGTAATGCTTCCTCTGTTCTTCAGGAACTTTATTTACTACACTGATAGTTTTATGCTTTGTTGAAGGAGGAACTTTTTTTCACCTTATAGCGTTCTTGTCTATTGAGAGTGCAAAACCAGTAGTAATCTATAAAAAATAATTTCTATACTTCAGTATGACAATTCTCATTTCAGCTTTATATTAAGGACATGGTGACTGACTTTGATGAAAAACATGACGAATACTTAATATCCCTTCAGCAGAGAAACCGGTAAGATACAGAATTGTTACCACCACTGAGCGTGTAATATCCCTTGTGTATTATCTAATGTAGTATCAAATATCAGCAGTTGTGAATATCAGTTTAAAAACTTGGTTTTTAAACTTGTAATGCGAAGTCTGACTTCCTGTGTCTTAAAACATTCAGGTGATTCCCTTTTCTTCCCTTTGTGAAGTACATCAAAGTTCTTATTTCTAGAGGAGATCACAATATTTCTTCAGCATACTTTGAAATATAGATGAACTTATTAATAAAATGTTTATTGTTTCCATGGCTTACAGGGAAGATTTTTGTTTCTGGAACAAGAGGTTCTAGATTCAGAAGTAATTGGCAGCTCACGCTGTGTGAGGATGTTGTTATGAGGCAAGGTTTTTATGTTGTCAGAAACACAGAAAACTGCATGCAAAGGTTGCTCAGTTAAATGTGCAGAGTCAGGCTCTGCTAAGGTGGGAGATAAGGACATCTAGGTTGCTTTTGCAAACTTCAGTATCTTTCGGACAAGTTTAAAACATTTCTTTTAATCTTTGTTCATATGAACCTTCCTGTCCTGGTACCTAGACAGATGAATTTCATAGGTTAATTCAGAAGGGTCTACAGAACCTTCTTGCTGGATTCCCTCCTTTACCTTTGCCTCAAATCCTGTAACAAACTGCATTGTTTGTTGAAAAGACCAAAAAAACCTACGAGAGCCACAGCTGTGTTAGAACAACAGCCATTTTTTTGTGAAAATGGGTTTCTTTCATATATAGTCTCCTAAAGCAGTTTTAGGAAAGGATAAAAACAAGTTATTTAATGATTGATCCTTATTACCACAGCGCTCATTCTGAATTTTGGTGGAGACAAATGCCACTGAATTGCAGCACGGCAAGCAGGTAGCAACTGTACCTTTCAGAGGAGGCACGCTGGATACATCCCTGTACTGGGCATAACTGGCAGTTTTGGATAGTGGGGGCTGCAGAGCAGCCTGTGTGAGAGCAGGTCAGGTATGGCCCTGGGCTGCTCACAGAAACAGCCCATCATGTACCAAACCATCACCAGTCAGAGCAGCCTGGGGTGGATTTAAGAGAGGTGGCTGCAGGGGGTAGGGTGCTCCTGCGGAGGCTTGCTGCCTAGAGGAGTGCTGGGGACACGGTTGGGGGCACACTTCTTGGGAAAAGGTGACTTGTGTCAGAACAGGTACACACCTGGGGGACCTGGGCCTGTGGATTGACCCACCCTGGAGTCAGAGGGAAACCAGGAAGCACCGTGCAGGGGCAGGCAGAAATTGTCACCCACATGGCCCCAACCTCCTGGCCTGCATGTCACATAACTGAAGAAATTAGGATGGACTGAGTATAACCCATGTTGAAAGGAGGGAAGATGAGACTTGGAAGAAGGGAGGGTAGGTGTTTCACTGGAACTGAGCCTGGGGAAGGGTGGTTTTTTAATATTATTTTAACCAGACTTTAATTTTCTGGTATCTCTAACTGCGTTATTGACTGAAGGCTTTCCCCCTCAAATTTCAAAAACACAAATAGTCTTTTCCTTAATTTTTTCTTGAAAAGAGCTCAACCATTTTTAAACTTTTTAAAATTCTAAGTAAAACTCTTAAAAAAATCTTCAGAAGAAGGGTTAAATATACTAAATACCAAATGGCAAAAATAACGTGAAATGAGAAACAACATGGAAAAAATCTCAGAAGGGAGAAGCTGCGTCAAACTTTGTATGTCACAGCGTGTGGATACTCGTACAAGCATTACAGAACAGAAACAGATCATGGAAGCTGTATTCTGAAATTGTTATTTGAACTATGAACATATTTTTCAGCTTTGTGACAGCACGTGTTTTTGTATTTATTGCTGATCTGACCATCTGTACATGTGCTGCGTAAGGATGAATTATTATCCTTTCTGCTTCAGGCTACTGGGACGTTTAAAAAGAAAGGATCCTATACAAATCAAACTGGAGCAGTTAGAACAAGGATTTTCTCTGTATCTGAATGGAGCTAATTCAGAGCTGAGAAATTACCGCAGAAAAATCAACTCGTGTGGCTACATTAAGAATGAGACAAAGACCACCAGGACAAATGGTGAGTTATATGAGAGTTTTACACAGATTGCAGTCTAGAACTATTTAAAACATTTACTCATCAGAGCTGTAATTTGGTCAGTGAGGTTACTGGTCAGGCTGTGATAAAGAGACAGCAGCATCTGAACTTGCTGGAATGAAATTCCACGGGACTCTTTCGTCAGACTTCTTATGTTGGTTGTATGTAAGGAACGGTCTCTGCAACACCCTATCAATTTCTTAGTTGATCCCTAACTAATTCCAAAGGTTAATTTCCTCACCTCTCCATTTGTTAAACAATTATAACTAAAACTAGAAGATGTATATAAGTTGCCAGTTAAAAATAATTGTATGCCTTTGTCTGATACCTAACACCGTTCATGGACTTTAAGATCTGATGTATTTTAAGATCTGGTCTGGTTGTCTAAGTCCAGTGTCCTATATGCAAATGACATATGATGACATAGACTATAATCAAATTATATCCAGTAATAGCTGCATTAAGCTCATAAGTTACGTTTAAGCTATAATAGTTGTCTTAAAAAGACAGCTACTCTTTATCTAAATATTTGAAGTAAAGAAAATCTACCCTTTTCTGCCAGTGATTAGCTGGCTTTATTAAAAATGTGTATTTTATTTCTAATTTAAGTCATGTCTGTCATAGAGAGCAATGTAGTGACAAGAATAGTTTTGCATGTATGAAGGTATAAAGTGTGAGCTTACTGGGCTTCTAATCTATTTATCATCATGCAAATAAAGTTGATTTCACTAAATCCCTGTGTAAAGCAGTTTACCAACCTTAGTCTGTTACCCTCCTGCTTGATACAACCAGTCTATCTTAAAGTGTATTCTTTTAATCTATTGATGTGTAGATAGTGTCTGCTTAAGCTTTATTTTCACTTAAAAATGAAGACAAAGAGTTAAAAAAGTTACTTAATATGATAATTTATAATGATTGAAAGTTTATTAAACTCATCAATACCGGAAACTAACTTTTCTTTCAGTAACTGTTCTAACCATGACTCTAAGCTCAATCTCTTTTTTTTTCTTTGGTTTTGTGCTACACTGGATACATGCTACTTGTTTTCAAGTTCAAGTGTGTTCAGGCTTAGCTGTCTGCTGTACAATTTCTTGCAGGTTATAGGGGATGGTGATAGGGAATCAGCCGGTCACCTAGTACCGCTGTTCTATGTGAAAGTAAAAACTTGTGTGTAATGATGCAAAAACATTCATGTTCTGGAAAGTGGAAAAAGGAGGAAATTGTGTGCTCTGTCACACCAGGATGACTTACCTTTAGGTAACTAAAGAGGGTATAAAACAATGTCTTTGACTTTTTGGTCCAAAAATTGTGCAGGGATATTGTGGCAGCAGCTGTAATAGAACTCCACCAAGAGAAATTTCCTCTGGAAGTTTTGCTGTGCTGCTGTTATCTCTAAGGTTAACCAAAGTTGTTTATTTTTCTGGCTGCTTAATGCCATTTGATTCAGTTAAGGTAGAATACTTCAGCTTGTCTTAGGGACCTTTAAGGACTTCAGTGACGGTCTCTGTTCTTTTCCTCAGCTCCATCAACTTAGAGACAGCAGCATTACCTCTGCAGAAGAGAACTCAGTGTTTTGCTGTTTCTTAGCTATCCGATGTTGTTATTTTAAACACATGCAGCTGCAGTGAAAGATACCAACTAAATCATGATCCTGTCATTTTTCTTCTTCCATTTGATTTTACCACTGGAGTCCAGAGTGGGAGTCATTGGTGTGACGTGTATAAACTTCTTGCCTGGGGGTAATACCTGAGCAATTTTGTGGTCTGTTTCATTTCTAGGCATTTCTGCTCAATGATTGAATATGATTTTACTTACAGAAATGATTTCTATCTGAGATACAGCACTGAATTTTCTTCTCTATCCATCTCCCATGAGAGTTATTGCATCATTTATTACTTCTAAAACATCTATCTATAGGACTAGTCTTCACTGAAAAATTAGAAATGTGTGATACTTAATAATACAGAATGGGCACAAATCCCTTTTTGTGGTTCCTGAAAGTGTCATCATAAATCTGTTTGTCTGGACTATTTTCTTTGTCTGTGTTCCCTAGGAGTAATTCATGATAATAGTGATTGATAAACTTTTTACGCTTAGGCTTGGTAAATGAATTCAAGTAAACAAATGGCTTATAAGGTAGTGAAGCTGATCTCTAGGTATGCTGTCATTTCTTTGGATGTATAACCCAGGCATAGTTTCACAACCATGTGTGTACTTCCACTGAATGTTGGTGTGGTCACAGAGATGTGGTTTAAGGCTAGCATGGAGTCTCCTTTGCTTTTGACGATGTATTACTCAGTCCTTGGCTACCAGAATAGGCACTGTCAGCTCAAGTCTCCGAGGGAATGACACCAGTTGACCTATTTTGTGTGCTAAAGCAGGTGGTGGTTGGTATTCGCATCCCATCCATCCCATGAGAAAGATGTTTTTGTTCTGAAGTAATGTTTGTAGCACAGACGAGTAGCTAAGCCACGTCAGCTTCTGCCTGGGATGTGAACTACTGTTTTCCCTGGTTCAGAGAGACCCAGTCACATGAATCCATCACAAAATACTCAAACAATTCTGAGAACCAAATATTCAGCAGTGATAACGAGAGTCCTACCCTGTCCCCTGTTCCTACTTACATTTATAGCATACATGAGTGGCCTTCTGGGCGGTTGCTCAGAAGAGGTGGATTGCTTAGGAAGTGAAAGATGCTTCCAATTCTGTCCCAAAGCAGTGACTGAATAAGACCATGCTGCTAGCACTGTAACCTCAGGAGAGTTCATGCTCAGCGCTAGAAAAGCCCCATAGTAATCAGCACCAATGCTAATGACCGCACGGCATTTCTGGAATTACTTAGGAATAGCCTAATGGAGTAGCAGGAGCTCTAGTTGGAAAGGCTGTTTTGCCGGACAAGATATTCCATGTCTTGTTTCTTCCTTGGAACAGTCCATTCCTTTCCCCCTCTGTTCTTAGTCCTGTTGCAGGCCTGAGAGACAGATCCCTTGTGCTGAAGCAATAGGATAACACCTTGTTCTTCTTATTCTGTAATTGATTGTAATTCTGTAATATGATCACTCTAAATTGGCATAAGCGTACACTGACCTTGTGCTGAAGCAATAGGATAACATCTTGTTCTTCTTATTCTGTAATTTATGATCACTCTAAATTGGCATAAGCGTACACTGTTCCCCCAAGAATGGTCCTGCCCTGTGTCTGGTCTCTCCTACTTGCTTGGACCAGCGTTTGTGCAATCTCATGGTGAACCAGACTACACAAGTGACTACAATTAGAAGAAATCTTTCTTTTATGTTTTTCCTCAGTTAAAACTTGCCCATATCAATTCTCTGAACACAGGTTCATGCAGCATTGTCCAACCCAAAAAAGAAAATGTGGTATTGAGAGTTATAATGAGCAACCTGATCTAATTTTGAAGTAAGCTCTGCTTTGAATGGAAAGTTGGGCTAGGTGACCTCCAGAGGCTCCTTCCAAACTAAATCTTTCTTTTATGTTTTTCCTCAGTTAAAACTTGCCCATATCAGTTCTCTGAACACAGGTTCACACAGCATTGTCCAACCCAAAAAAGAAAATTGAGAGTTATAATGAGCAACCTGATCTAATTTTGAAGTAAGCTCTGCTTTGAATGGAAAGTTGGGCTAGGTGACCTCCAGAGGTTCCTTCCAAACTAAATCTTTCTGTGATTCTCTGACCTTTGTAGGACGACTGCTTCTTTTATTGGTAGTGCCAGTTTCTGCTGGCTTAGGGTGACCATTAAATTATGGCTTAAAGAAAAAAGGTTTTGCATCAGCTGTTTTTCTCCACTGAGAAGAAATGGAAGCTGTAAATCTGTCTTGGACATAGGAAATGAGATGCCTTTATTTAGGATGCTATTGAGAGTGTTGGTGATGCCCTTACTCCATTGAGGATGCTGATGTGACCTGCAAGATGTTTGTGTCTCTGTCTCAGTCAAAGCATCTTCTCAAAAATCCATTGTTCCACAGTAAGTTGGGACCATTTCCAGCAGAGGAACCCCTAGTTCTGCTTGACCATACCAGAACTTTTGCAGAAATTTTGGAACTAACTCTTCCTTGCCTTAGAAATGAAAGAAGATGATTGTTTGCTCTTCATTTGTAACATGTACATGAAGAATCCTTCTCTGTACAGTGTGTTAAATACCTAATACTTTCTGTTTAAACTGCAAATACCTTACTTTTCCTTAGTTTGAGAGTAAACACATGCAATTCCTTTGTATAACCAGCGTATCCCCTGTTCACTGGGCCCCCATCTGTCAGAGTCTGCCTTCGGTAGTATGGGTTCTGGGCTCAGTTGGCTTCCTAAGACAGCTTGCTGTCTACCAGCTAGGAGTTAGAATGATGTGCACCCCATTCTAGAACATATTTCTGTACTTTCATGTCTGTGAATGTGGGGCTTCACTTGCTGTTAAGCTAATGTATCTTTAAACAATTTATTCTCTTGAATACACATGATGATGATGATGACTGTCCCTGAACAAGTTCAAAACTCCGGCTACTAATACACCACTAGCCAGTATCTGAAGTACAAAGCCTTATTAGTTGTTGATACCATTTGCATGTCAATGACTTGCTCTTCTGTCCTCAACTGGGAGAGGAAAAAAAAAAAAAAGCAAACTATGGTGTATATTGTCAAATATCATATTTCTATTTTTGGTCTCCTAATTCTCGTCTCTATGTTCTGAAAAAGCAACCCAGCTAGAAGAGAGTGAGTTGCCAGAACACAGCACACAGACTGCACCAAGCAAAATACAACGCAGAGGTTGGCTTCAGGTAAGAAACAGTTTGAAAGAATGCATCTTTGAACTAATTCTTAGATCATAAAAAATTGTAGGGGAAATTTGTTGCATGTAGCAGATAGTGAGAAGTTGGAACTCTCGTAGAATCTGAGTCTTGGTTTGGTCTGGATACTGAGTGACAACGTGAAATGATACCCTGACCAGTTCTGTGTCTACTTTGAAGCCTAAAGAGGCACATCTCATTGAAAGGGTCTGGTTGCGGTGACATCCATTGTGGAAACTTCTGTAGCTTTGACATGATTGGCTCAATCTGTCTTCCAGCAGAATAGCTGTTGCTTGACATCTCTGATGGGAAGCCTAGAGAGCTTATCTAGTGCAAAGGTTGGAGAATCTCATTTTGAAGATACAAGCCTGCCTGTCACTGCTGTTCTCCACCCTGCAATAGCATTAAGGGACACAGAGGTGTAATTTGCATAGCTTGAGTTGTAATTTGTGACAGATTCTTGTAGATCAGGGGGGAGGAAAATGCCTATAGATGATAAAAATACCCCGCCTATAGGAAATTTGGAGCCATTAGCTACATAGTTGTTGATTCACTGGAGAAAACTCAATGGTCTTTTTTTATTTTGGCCAGAAGAAGGATCTGACTTAACCTGTCAAGTAGTATGACTTAATTAACAGAACAAATGTGAATTCTCAACAACTGAGACATGTCACCCAAATAATTACCCTACCTGATTAGCAATTGCCCTGTCTGGATGTCCAGTCTACGCTTGAGTGACTGGGGATCAGGGGTCCGTGTCACTGCGGATCAAGTGTTCGTGTCATGCAGGTTTTCTTTTCTTTCAGCAAAGATTGCACATTCAAGTTTTAAGGCTGCATTACTTTATTTACCACCCTTACTGCTTACTTGAATTCATTTTCTCAGCTGCTATTTCTCCCAGTAGATCACTGCTTACATTCTGGCCTGTCAGAACTTGTTTGCTAAGTTTGCAAATGTGTGCCTGTCATAACGTGCGTTGTTCTAATCACAAGAGCCAAATGAAGAAGGAGGTATCTCCTCTGGCTGGACTGGAAAGTTAGTCAAATAGAGATAGCTATACTAAAAACTAGCTACTACTTGAGACTAGCTTAGGGTGATACCTTAAATCTTTTATCCAATTGGATGGGAGGATAGCAGAGTTATAGTATCTTAATGAACAACTGGAATTATTTAGCTAAGGAAATGTGTAACCACTGAGTAAGATGCAGGTTGTGCCAGACAGCAGTTTGCTTTCCCAGTAATTTTCCCTGTGGGTTTTTTGGATAGCTAGAGGACCTAGCAATTCCTGTTCAAAACTGTCAAACTTAGGCTGTGCTAAGGTACGCTGAGGCAGGAAGATAGACTTATGGAAAGAACGTATTTTATCAAAAGCCAGGTTGCCTTAGGATCTTTTCTCTGGGACATCTCTGCTCCTGGCTCTTACAAAATCATAGAGGAGTGTGTGAACACCAGATAAGTAAGTTTAATATTAGTTCCACAGATTCTGTGCCACATGTTACCTTTAATGAAACAGTCCTCTTCCCATCGTTCGCTTAGGAGACTTCCCTCTATGGAATATGTCTGCACAAGAGTTCAAAAGTGGGGGAAAAAGTTCCTTACAGATAACTGTTCCTTGAGAGAGGTATATGCACTTCCACTTTCTCTTTTGTCATGTTTTGGAGTACTGAAATTCTGTGCTATGGCAAGATGAGTGTCTCAAATCTTCTACCCTTCTTTAACCATGCTTGAGTAACTGACAGTGTGCATAATTTGATTGCATCCTAGTTATGAAGTAAAACAAATTAATTTGAACCCCTTTCTCAGCCATGTCTGACATTGACAAAGGCGAAGAAATCTTTGTGATTGAATGATTATGGCATAACATTTCCCCCTCGTTATGTTACACACGAGTGTAATATGTCTTCAGAAAATTGCAATTACTTCAAGTAGTCATTTTCATACATAGACATTACAGAATCAAAAAATTATTGTGGTTGAAAGGGAACTCTTGAGATCATCTAGTCCAATCCCTGTGCTCAAGCAGGGTCAGCTAGAGCAGGTTTCCCAGGACTGTGCCTGATCAGGTGTTGAATACTCTACAGATGGAGACTCCACAACCTCGCTAAGAAATCTGTTCCAGTGTTTAGTCACCCTCACAGTAAATTTTTTTTTCTTCTGTTCAGGTGGAATTTCATGGTTTTTTTTTTTTAATTTGTGTGCATTGTCTCTTGTCCTGTCAGTGAGCAGATAACCTGTCAGGTATTTATATGCATTGATGAGATCTCCCAGAGCCTTCTTTCCCCCAGGCTGAAGAGTCCCAGCTCTCTCAGCATCTCCAGCAGAGCACCTTTGCCTGTTAGCTTCTCAATCCCGTGTGCACTCTAGAAATCTCCTAGATTGCTTGAGCCCTGCTGTGTTGTCTTCCCAGCAGATACCAGGTTTGTTAAAGTGCCCCGCTGGGGGATGGCAGCAGCAGGTGGGGAGTTTGACTAGGGCAGTTAAACCATAATGCAGGGACCCAAAGGTGAGCTCAGGGAGGACACAAAAAACCTTCTGTGGAACAGAGGGGAAAAAGATTGCTTGATCTAGATATTGTTATGTAAAATGTGATGATTATTCTTTTTGTACTGCTGATAGCACAAAAGATGTCTAATTTCTTTGAGTGCTGCTTTTAACAGAAAACTGTGGAGATTAAAACAGAAAGGGGAGCTAAACTCTGCATTAAGCCTCCTCTTCAGTATTCTGAGGATTTTGAACCTTATGAAAGCTTGAGCATGGAGACAAATGGTGATGATCCTCTCCATTACTCCCAGGTACAGTTGGCAGTTGCCTTCTATTGTTCATGGTAGTGTCAATTGAAATATGAATGGGCCCAGGTATCCGTCTTGACTACAGCATGCAAAAATGGTTTCTTTTGCTCGACGATTTTGCATTGATGGGATGTGATGTAAAGAAGGAAAAAATGAAAAAGTAAGCCTACTGTTAAAATCTAATCTCAGTGAACAATACTATAACATGTTAAATCCTAGTTTAAAGAGGTAGAATATTGGCTCTGTTGGATACAGCCAAGGTATTTCATGTAAGGAGACTCAGTTCACTTAATGCTTGTCCACCTGAATGTCACTCTTGGCCATCAGGTTAGAGAAAACTCAAATAACAGCTTTTTCTGGGTTTGGGTTAGTTTTTGAATAATCGTGCTAAAATTGTTGCATGTCATTGTTTTACCTAACAGAAGTCAGAGTAAAGTTTTTAAAATATTATAATCAATACAGTTGCTTTCCATCAGGGTTGTTATTTTATTGGCTCTGTTGTTTGACAGTTCAGCCTTCCATTTGGTTCCTAATTGCAGTTTGTTCTAGCACACTTGACAAATGAATAAATGAACGAAAAATTATGCATGTGTTTCTGCCTGACCAATTAATGACATCAATAAAGGTTTTCTGGGTAGTGGAGTCGTGTCTATATAGGAAACTGTCTACAGATCTTACCACTGACATCAGACAAACTTCCCAAGTGTGTTTTCCTAGCTTGCATCTTTCTGCCTTTTTTTTTCCCCTACTAACCAGTAACTTGTTTATGCTGATGGATATTTATAATCATTTACATGTAAGTAGCAAGCAAATAATTTTGAACGAAACCCCCACTTTTCTTTGTATTCCACATGGAAATACTTTCGGTTTTCCTGAAGCTATAGCTTCAAGAAAACACAATATATTGTGTTTTCTTGAATGTCTTGTTACAATGCAGATGTCATGAGGTTTCAAACTAAAGGGAAGCCTGTATAATTCCCTGTCAAATAGCTAGAAATATTAGTCTTGACTGTCATAAAGACATGCTCAATATCAAGCCTCAGGTTGCTTATAGACCCCCTTTCGCCTGTTCTTTGTAATATGTTTCTGTCAACATGGATTTCCTAACAAGTGTAATCTGTAGCAGAAGAGCAGCTTGAAGCTTTCATTGCAAACTGAACATATGCTGTCGCAGTTCATTTGTACCTAAGATAGCTTTGGGTTTTCATTTTACTCATAGAGTTTGCTTACCTATACTTATCTCAAAATTTCTAATACCAACAAGGCAGGAAAAAAAATGCATTTAAGATATGTGAAGTCTTTTCCTTTTACATTCATAAAACCAAAAGGCTCTCCAGCATCATCTATGCTGTTTGTGGCATACGCTGAGACAGGCAGGGCAGTTTTTTGAATGGTAAATTTCAAAATAGATTAATTTTTGCATAAAATCCTGCTACAGAGTGTCCAATTAAAAAAATCTGTGCAAACTGGCAGCTTAGTCCATTAGATCACAAGTCTTCTCTACTGTTTTTTGAAGTACAGTTGTGTACAAGACAGGACTATTATCAGCTATCCAATTGCTTCTAAAGAACTGCTATTGCATTAGCTTTGTAGTCTTGTGAAGGCATTTGGAAAATCTGGATTGCAGCTAGTCTTCAAATGCAAGCCAAAAGATAGGGTAATCAACCTGTGAGACTGGAAAAATATATGCCCTTGCCCTCTCCATTGCTTATCTCCTGTTTGTAACTTATTCCTAAACATTGGTTTTGCCCATGAAAATTCCTTGGCCTACAGAATTTTCCTGCAAGGATTCTGATGAGAAGGAACAAAGGAGTTGTAGGTTGTCTTTACAAGTCCTCATCAGAGGAGGGAAGACACGACATAGGAATGTGAATATTTTTAGCTGCATCATGGCTCTGAGTTCATGAGAAGATTTTTCGTTCTCCTAGGGGACAAAGAGGTAGCCACACTGGCTTAATTTAAAATACTTGTTTAAGCTTTTCTGACAGATCTGTTTGAATTGTACTAGAAATTGAGAAGAAGCTTGCAACTCAGTATAGAAGAGAAAAGGATGGAAGACGCCTCTCTTAGTGATGATTATGACTCTGTTGAGGAGGAAGTGTTTTCAGAACCATCTCCCACTGAGGAAACAATTACAAGCTTTGGAGGCCTTCAGTTGCATAGCAGTAAATCACTGCAGAAAGAAGCTTCTGAACGTCAGGATGCTGGGAGTTGCTCTGGCCTTGATTCTGGTGCCCTTACTGTGGTGGAGTTCAACCAGGATCAACGTAGTAAGTCTCCGTGTATTATGTACTACTACAGCACTGTAATAATTCTCTGAGAGTGTTACGTTTAAGGGAATCGCTGCTAGTTAATCATTAGTGGTTACTCCATACACTCATGAGTTTTCATGCTCTTCAGCAAACCTTTTGTTTTAATCTCCTGATTTGGGAGACTTGCATCCTCTTATTACTATGTTAAGAAATTTTTTGCAAAGACAAAGATACAGCCCTGGTTAACCCACTTGCATCACCAGGCCTAGACACTTGAACTAAGATTGTCTCAGACTCACTGAGATTTCTCAGGAGATTATTATTCTTTAATATATTTTTGAAGTGTTTTTGCAGTAATCCAGGCAGTCAAATCTTCCCAGTCTCATCTTCCTCCATTTCACATCCTGGGTGCTGGGTACCTGTCATCATAGCATGTGCTATTCATCCCTGATGAAAGATGTATTAATTCAAGAAAACAAATCTGTCTGGCTATGAGCTGCTTCTTTTTGTCAGGTCTTCTCCTTTGGAGACCTCAATGTCCAAACCCCAAACCAGTCACTAGGTCTCAAAGCTGTTTAGCTTGTTAAACATAGGGAGTTCAGGCAGAAACCGGACCTTGACCTACATCCAGTATTTCTCAAAATTCCCTCCCCCCTCATTTCAGGTACATTCATTATTTTTGTTTTGGTTTTCCTTTTTTTTTTTTTCTTTTCCTTATCCATAGTTAATTCCTTAACTTAAGAGGAACAAGCTTTGAACAAATTGAGTAAAGGAGCGTTCCTCTCATTATCATAGAGGTGAGTGGAGTGTGAATGGGGAGAGGTTGGCAGGAGAAGAGATAGGAACAAGGGATGGAGCAGCAGCGAGAACAAGATCTTTGGGAGAGTACATGATTTATTTTTTTTTCCAGAGAGAAGTTTCAAAGCTGTGATGCAAACAATGGAGGCATTAAAAATTCTCATAGGAAAAAGTGAAGAAGTACTCTTGTGAACTACACTAGGCAACCCTTTGAAACTTCTAAATAAGACAACATTTTAGTCTGTGTTTTAAGAATTTATTTTCCTGTAACTGTGTTAATAAGTGACTCAGGACTTCTTTTTTATTTTTGCTTTTCTTGACAGTAATGCGGGTAAATATCTAGTACAGATGAGAAATATTGGTACCTTATAATGATATATTTTATTTCATGAAGTCAGTGCAAGCTGTGCACATGTACTTCTACATCAGTAGAACAGTATCAGTGAAAGGGAGGGAGGATGGAGCTTATCACTTTAACTATGCCAGCATAATTAAACTGGCAAAATTTTAGCAGTTAAGATCCCTGGCTGGCTGCTCCTAAATGTCTCTGAAGTTGATTATTTCTATTCCCTTATTATCTTGCAGAAGTGAAGCTGCCACGAGTTCTCTCGGCGAAAAGAAAAGATAATGCTGAAATGTACATTCCTGTCAGACCAATCGTGGTAAAAAATAAAATCACTCGGCCGCTCTCTGCTGAGTTCTTGCAGCAGGAAAGACATGAAAGAATTTGTTCTAGTAAGAAATAAGAATATATAATGTCAATAAGGAGAGATTTCATGCTTTTTTCCCTTCTGGCTCGTGTAATTTCAGCACGCATCTGTTATGATGTGATTTTTCTTAGCTGATCTCTTTTTTTTTTTTTTTTTTTTTTTTTTTGCGGTTTTTTTGTTGTTGTGTTTGCCACCTTGAGCGTTTTGACTTAAGTAAGATTGTGAGAAAGTCCAGAGCCTGTATACTTAGTATACTGTAGTTGTCTGCTGCATCTTTACTACCTTCCTTCTCTTTTTGCTTCCACGGTGTATGACTTTTTCCTCTCCCTTTCAGTCCTTGTGCTTGCCATGTGTTTCCCACTTTCCTCATGGAGACCTGGTCACTATGGTATTAACAGAAGTGTGTCTTCTCAAAATCAGCAATTGATGCTTTGGTGGAAGATTTTAACACAGTGCATTTATAGCAACAAAGGCATAGTTTCCCACATCTCAGCAAAACTAGCTCTGTTGCTGCTTGGGGCTGTACTTCAATTACACCTTGAACACTGGAGATCAGTCTCCAGTGCTGGGTAGGTATGCTGGTATCTAGTACCATACTGGAAAATGTTTTTCCTGGACTGGAGAATGCCATTTTGAAAGCACTGGTGCTTATTCTATAAATCTGCCGCTAAGGTGTGGTCTTTACCTGGCCTGAAAAAAAACCCAAAAAACCCAACACAAATCTAGGGGCTGAAATCATAGCTGCAGTTGTTATTTCAGCACAGTCCTCAATTCAACAAGTCTGATGAACTTGAGGTTTGAAAGGTCTGAGATAAAAGTTTTCATGCTTACCATACTCTGTGGTTAAGACACTCTTTTCAAAAAAAAAAAAAAAAAGCAAAATCCAGATGTGTCCCAAGAAAGCAATAAAGCTAACAGTTTGAAAAGTCAAAATGTTAGTTTCTGAATTGGCAGAAAACCAAATTGAGGAAGAGAAGCTAATTCTTTTGGCTTCAGAATAAATCCTCTTTGTAGCTTCTGAGACCCTCACCCACCATCTGTCTGAGCAGATGCTTGATTTGACCATTTTCCAAAGATGTGTGTAGCACTTTCCCAGGTTATAATAGTGCTTGCTAGAACTGTTTCTGTCCAACTATCACTTTAAATCCTTAAATTAATTTCATTTCACAGGGATGGTATAGTATGGATAAATAAAAAGCACTTCATTCGATCTCTGTATTTGCAGAGATGACTAATAGTTGTTGAAAGTTTTTATGAGTGAAGATGGCATAGGGCTTAGAGTGTGAGTGCATGCAAACCTCAGCTCAGTTTTAACTTCCTGTCTTTTCAAGGTAGACCACATGTTGCTCGCATCCACTGCCGTTTTACTCTCCTGCTTAGTAAACCTTAGTAAACCACACTGTGTATCAGCCTGCTCTTCAATATTTTCACTTGATCTTAATGTCTGTACAACTTTGGTCTCTTTTCTTCCCTTGACTTTTGAATTCCTTGAATATAACCACTGTGCTTCTCTTTTAGTCCAATCTCAGATCCTCTATTGTTAAATTTTATTTCCTTTCTTTTAAACCTGTTTATAGGCTGTGACTTTTCTGTTTCTCGGTGATGTTTGGGAAGATTGGGATGTGTATGGGCATTTTGATGACCGCTTAAGTGATAAGGTCATTTATTTTGCCTTGCAAATAGCAACTCCTGACTCCCCTTGTTTTGCTAGGAGACTCTAGGGATTCCTCCAAAATAGCTGAACACCCCAGTTACATTGAAAAATTCTGGTGTGCTGAAATTCTATATACTTCCATTAAATACCTGAACAAAGCAGGTACAAAAAAATCTTACAGCATAAAAATTATGTTTCCCATGTGTCAATTTTACTCCTCTTATGATAATGTTTCAGCTGTTGTCTAAAGTAGATGTGACCTGGAATCTTAATATAAAAACAAATTCTAGCAATTCAGCCTCTTGGGATGCTTATAGACTGCTAGTGAAGTGCTGTGTCAGTAACTGAATCAGATGTTTCAAATGTACCCTGTTGTAATGTTCCATATTTTTATGTCTGGACAAATGAATATTCCTTCCTTCTTTTGGTGGCAGGACCATTAAGTCGCCCAGAACGACCGCTTTCAGCCACTCGAAAGAATGTATGTGAGAAGGACCCCGATCTCTCAGTTTCAGCTGTGGTTAAAGCAATGCAAATTGAAAATGAAGTCTTGCAGAGAGATCTGCAAAGGCAGACAGTTTCCACAAGCCCTCACAAGGTAAGTCAAGATGCAGAAAAGGGCTGTCTGATCAAGTAGCAAAACCCCCCTTGAATTACATTATTATACATTAAGATTATGTATGAGTGAATGGTGATGCTTCTCAAGTGTAATTGAATTTGTGTTATTCTTCCATAGGGTGGTTTTCTTTCATCTGCTTCCTCAGGATAGCATCCCACAGCTCTCTCTTGATTTCAGGGATCACTGAGCAACCGATAGACCAGTTGCATGATATGTCTGTACAGTCAAATGCACAGCTGCAGGCCTGGTTGAGCCATTTTCATTCTGGAAGCTTCTTAAACAAGATAATGTGTGATTTCCATGCCAATAAATCCTACCTTCCTACTGTATTCATTAATATGGGCACCATTCCCTGTTAATACATACTCCGCTTGGAGTAGAGCTGTCATGTATGCTGCTGGCTCTCGGTGAGGAGGAGCTGGTATGGGTTTTCTGCACCAGTGTGTGTACATCTCGTATCTCCACAACCATCTTTAAAAGCAATTAAAACCTCATCTTATAAACAGGGAGATCAACAAAAATCCATTCCCTTCTGATTCAGGTTAGACCATTATTCCTTGTTAAGTTAAATAAGGAGGTTTGTGTTGGCAATCCTAGCTAATTTCGAGCATAACCAGTAATTCAGTTCTCCTAACATCAAGAAAGTACCTAAAGAAATTTGAGTGTAAAATGAAATTTAAAAAATTATCTGTTACAGACAGTGTTCACGGATTCAAAGTCTGCTTCCAGTTTGGTGTTTAGGAGATTCATTTTTATGGGAGAAAAGAGATTTGCCTAGACAATCTTGCAGTTACTCATCTGAATTCTGAGAGTTTCCAAGACAGTCGACTACGTTAACCTAAGCTGATGCTCCCTAAAGTTGTGAGTTGGTGCTATGAATCCACTGTCATTGCTGAGCCAACATTAGGTTTCTGCGGAGTTTTGGTTAGGAGCGAAGGTTAAAATGTTCTTTTACTATCGGTAAGTACTTTACATATCAATTCACCATCTAGGGCAACTTTTCAATCTTATTCCTCTTGGTTTTGAGATATTTATAGCTTTGTGATTGAGAGAGAATATTCAATAGAATTTGTTGACATAAAGTATCTTCCTGCTAACATTAGGACTAATTTTAATATTGTTGTGCTTACATGAAAAATAATTAAATAATACTTAAAATAGACGCAATTTTACCCTGACACTTGAGATGGAGTTTCAAAAACCTACTGTGAATTCTCAGTCTTAAAGCTGACCTAAATGATCTTCCACAAGTAATTGAATTTTGCTTACACAGTTAAGGGGTTGTGGAACTTGGCCTTTGATATTTAAATGTATAACAATGCAGAATTTTTAATACTAAAAAAGTAATTAACTTCTAAGCATTTTAAAGTTCTCTTACTCTTCAAAAATTATAGAAATGGAAGTGACCGAAGAACAGAAGGACTGTCATTCCTCATCTGACTACTTGTTCACTGTGCTGAGTTCTATATTTAAAAAAATAAACCAAGATTTTATTCTCATAAAACTGAGCTTTTTAGGTTTAAAAGTCCTTGTGATCCTTATTTGGAGAAGGAGAAAGTCTAGGCAGACCTGTGCCAAAGCTTTGGCCAACTCTGAGTCCTACCAAATGTATACAATAAGATTTCAGACGCGCACACACACACACACACACACATATATATATATATTACACACACGCATTTTCAATAGTCATCAGGGAATGCTTTTAACATTACTTTTCTTCCACACAGGGGATCAAGCTCCAGGCTCAGCTCTTTCATTGCAAATCGAGACCAATTCTGTTAAATGTGCTTTAACTCTATACTGAGTTACAGATTAGCTAAGGCTAGCTGAGACCAAGCTGGTCCCAAACTCTTCCTTATTCCAGAGATGCAGACTGATACTTACTGGTAGGTAGAGAACAATGTGACTGAAACATGTTTGTCTTTTTCTTACTTAGAAGAAAGTTCCTGTTTCATCTGTTGTTTCTGCAATGGCTCAACCTCCAGAAAAAAGCCAGACAAGGGCTGCAGTCACAAAAGCTGTTGAGAGAATTTGTCCTTTTGGAAGCAGGTATATATATTTCCTTTAAAGCTAGCTTCCTTTTCTGAAGAGATATTTTTCAGTGTACCACCAGGTGTGGTATAGTACCACTACACTCGATAATTGTTAAATATCTGAGACATCATGCAAATAGTAGCAAATCAGAGAAAAGGTTCCAGCCTTGGGCCAGTCTCTGTGGATCAGGGAACTGCCAACATCTCCCTCTGTTTGTCTTTTTATTTCCTATGCATTACTTTCTCAGACTGCCACAGAACCAGCCGAGAACTGGAGCCCAGTCTTTTAACCAAACTCTCTATCTAAGGTGGGATGCTGCAACAGTTGTCATTCAGTGTGCGGGTTCATGGGATTCTTCTGTGGGGTGTGTGGGTTCGTCCTATCATCTCTTCACCTTCGCACCAACGAAACTATTTCTTAAAAATACAAGGATTATGAGGAAGTAACACATAAAAGAATACGTATGTTTCAGACAACAGAAGAAACTTCTGAAAGTCCTTCCAGAGCCTGAGAGCCATTCTGCCTGTGATAATGACACGTTCCTGTCTGATGACAAATCTGAAGTAGATGACATGTCGAGAGATAAGGTTTGTGCATATATGCACCATAACTGATGCTTCCTAGTATTACTGAAATAAAAGTACATTGAATGAACTGTATTCCACAGATTCTGCCCCATGTCAACTAATAAACCTATGGCAGGGTAAGAGAAGAGAATTTATCGCTGTTCCTTTGTTCATCAGAATGACAAAGGAATCGGACAAAGAACAGAGAGCTTTTTTTTTCCTTAGGCTTTGAAAGAGGGTGGTAAGTTCTCTTACCCCGCCATAGATTTATTAGTTGATATAGGGCAGAATTGGTGGACCCCCAAATTATTTATTGTCATCCAGATAGCCTTGAGTTTGCAAGCTTTTTGCTTCTGACTATCATAGTGTTAACAGTCTGTATTTTGTTCCGCATTCGATTGTTTTGTCACTTATGTTTATACCATATTTCATTTCGGTCCAGATGACAACCAGTATGGAAGTACGTGACGCCATTTATGTGACTATGGAACTTCTTTCTAACTGGGGAAATCCAGTAAACGTGGGCCTGAGCGAGGTGGAATTCTTTGATTTATACAATGAAAAGATATTTGTGTCTCCTCATGATGTGGACATTCGAAATGCTGACAACCCCGGGGATTTGTGCTGCTTGGTCAATAAGAACTTAAATGTAAGACAGCTTAGTCCTGGATGGGAAAATTTCTCCTTATAATATTTCTTCAATATTCTATCTGTAGGGTTTTTTTTGTTCAGAAACATGATTGCATTTTGAACCTGCCTTGCATAACAACTATCTGATAATTTAGAAAATTACAAATGTTGCTTATTACTAACAAATCCAGCTTTCCTGTCCAAGATGTTGGTATTCAGTTATAATTTTGTTTTGGAACAGAATTTGATTAATTTGCCTGACTGACTTAAGTGAGCAACTGGAAGGAGACAGCTTTAACTCTGCCTCCTTATATATTAACTCTAGGGTATTGTCTTGGATAAAAGAACACATTCAGTTTCTAAAGTATTGTAATGTAATCATAGTATGGAAGGAGATCACAAAACTTTAAGGACAGGGAATTTTGCACTTTTACAGTATGTCTGCTGATAAACTTAAGTAATTCTTGTGATCTGAAGGTGTAGGAGCATCACTGCTAACTTCTTCCAGATGTTTAATATAAATTTAAGTGAACTTAAGAAGGAAATGTGCTTATTCTCTCCTGTCCCCTTGTTACCCTTTTACCTAGGGAAGAATCACGGAAGAATAAGAATGTGTAGGTAGGTAGTTTTGAACAAGAGATTAAGAAAAATATGTGGCGTGGTAAAAGTATTTCATGGCTCTTCTGTGAGATAGTAAGATGAGGCAACATGAGGTACTTAAATACTAAAGACAATGGACAAAAGACACTAACTGGTATGAAATTCTGATGCTACCGAAGAGATTAGCAAATGTCCGTAGCCCTTCATGCAGCCATAATTTCATTTGTGCCACACATTCACTGGGTGTTCTTTGTCTCCATGGGCCTTCAGAGCTAGGATTCTAGTAAAAATTAGTATGATTGTAGTGGATGAGGATACTAAATGACTTCATCTATTAAAAAATATAAATTATAACTCATTTCCTGTTAGGGATACTTTTCTGCTTGCAGAGTGAATGAGAATAAAAAGAGGGCAAATACGCAGTATTTTGAAGTTTAGTTGAAATTAAGTATAGAATATTATTTCCAGACAAATATTTGTACTTGAAATATCTTTCTTACTGTCTTGTGAAAATTGTTGTTCGGGTGTCATAAATACCCATTCTCCTTTATAGGCCGTGCTCTCTGGCAGATGATGCTCGGCAGTAGTAATAGTGACTCTCAGACTTTCTAGATAATTATAAATTATGTAGTAATATGTTCATTAATCCATTATAAACCTGTTATTCTCAGCATTTCTCATATATTTATATATCTCATTATTCTTCAGCAATGAGGTTCTATATTTCATTGATTAATCTATTCCTTTGATTTGTGACACTGTAATCTCTCTTGAAGCTGGAAAGGTATTGCGTCAGAGAAGGTGCAACCTGGACAGGGAACACAGTCTTATGATGTGGATATGTGGTAACTGAACTGCAGGCTCCTTCAGAAGTCAAAGCAGCATTTCCAGTTTGTGTACACTTCAGATCATACAGGAAAGCTTTTGGGTGCATTAGAAAAAAACAACAAATTAATGAATTTAATGAAGCAACTAATATTTTCAAGAGAGTGAAAACTAACATAAAAACTTACTTTGTGGAAAACTCACTCTACCATGGTTAAAACACTTCCATCTTTGATCATCTAAGTGTACATTTGTCTTTGAGAATAGACATACTCTTACTGAAGATCAGGGATTTTATTTATTAGTTTATTTATTACCCTTGCAGACTTTTAAGAACACTTAAATTCCCTCCTCCCTTGTACTTCCTGATATGCTGTAAAAGAAAAAAAAGCCTGGCAGAACACCAGGTGCTCTCAGCTAAGGATATAGTGCCTGATGGGATATAATGCTTAATTAGCATAGATTAATAGATAGACATAGATTAGGCATTTCATTGCAGTTGTTCTCCATAAGCCTTTTTGATTCTTATATGCATATATAGGTCTCTTAAACCTCAGAATAACAAGGGCAGGTAACTGTAATTCTAGAAATATCTAACATGATCCTCCATTTCTGACCACGTAGAGGTAGCAGTTCTGAACAATGTCCAGAATTAGGTATTCTCTGGTACTTTAAAATTTCTTGATTGTCAGTTGTCTGTAAAATTCATGTTGGGAGTTTCTGTGATATCTTAGAAAATGTCTTATAAAATTTCTAGTGTAGAGTCCTATATATAGCTCTAAGGAATAGATCTGTAAGTGAAATCAGTTGTCTGAAAAGCCAGATTAAAGTAGAGGCAGTGAAATAAAACTCTGTAAGATTCCTCTCTTTAGAGGGCAAAACAGAAATGTAAGTACTTTAAGAAATCATAAAATGATTATACAGTGTCTATTGTGCTCAGTGATCCCCTCTAGTGCCTGCAAAGCTGATTAATTTGATTAAAATAAACTGGGCTTGCTTTGACCCTGCAGTTACAAAGCATGGCAGACTGCCTGTCATCTGTGAGCGTGCAGATGTCTTACTGGGACAGCAAGCAGCTGACCTTTATCTAATTGTCGGGTTGTTGTGAGCGGTCTTAGAGGCAGGAGAGGCGGATTTACTGTTTGGAAATGAGGTTAAGGTTTTGCTCTTAACGTAGTCGATTTTATTAAATGCTTACTTTTATAATTGATGTGTATTTTTCTGTGGGGTGGTGAGTTAATTAAAATATGTTGCTTTGGGAGAAAGAGTATTAGTGACAGTCTGCTTGTACGTGTTTTTAGACCACAAAAGAAAGCTTCCTTTGGATGTGCGCTTTCCATCCACCCATCCAACTTTACTTTGTTATCCGCAATCCTACCCGGTCACGTGACTTTGGTATATCCAGGATCAAGATTTGGAATTACAACACAGCAACTCCCTGTGTAAGTAGTCTTTTCTGAACTCCTCTGTACGTATGCTCTACCTTGCCTAGGGAAGCTCAGTTTGATCTTCTTTCCAAAAGTATGAAATTAAAGTAGATACCATTTTCTCTAATAAAATGGGGAGCTAGGAGGGGTCCTTGCCTACTGTGAAATTTGCTTTTGTCTGAATTGTAAGTGGTAGCAATGTAAGTGTTAACATTTTCATAGCCACAATTAGCATTTTCTTTCAAAGCTATTAAAGCTCTCTGAAGACCTAATAAAAGGCTTGCATATTCTGTCAGTTAATCCTTTACTGTGGTGAGAAATAAAGATACAAAGGTAAGTGCATCTTAATATTCGTGACTTTCAGTTGTTTTATCGCAATATAAATAAATATGTATTTAAATACATGTTTTCTTATGTATGTAGGTATAAATAGGCTGACTGTTGCTCGATTTTTGGTTTCGTCACTTTAATTAAAAAGTATACTAATTGTGTGTTCACAATAAAACAAGTAATCTAGTGTTACAAGAGAGATGTCTCATGGCAGATGGTCTCTTGTTTGTGTGTTTGAATGTCACCACGGAAATTATTCTTGTTTGTACACTGCAATGTTAAGAAAAAAATCCCAGGTACTGGATGAAAGAGGATTTACTGTCCTGGATTATAAATAAGAGGCTTTATCCCTCTAGTTTTGCTCTCATCCATGTTTTTATATAAGCACATATGGTAATTTATACTATGGAAACGGCCATGGAAGGGACAGCTTAAACAAATTTACTATAACATGATTTATAATTATTTTCTGGAATTTTAGTAGCTTTTTCTATTAAAATGTGGGCTACAGAATGTTCCATTGTTGTGAGAGAGTGCGAAAGGCACTGCTGGTTTTGGAGGCAATAGTATGATTTGTTACCAAACCTATTGAATGTAATGCAGGAAACACACATAAATGTATTTCTGTGTTTTAGGCACTGTTATTTTAATAAACCACTATGAGGCAAGCTGTAAAATCCATTAGGAGTATAATCCCATGGATTTTTGGTGGCAGCACAGCAGTCTACACTGTCTAAAGAAATGTCTCATTATCCTTAGGATGAAAGAATAGTACAAAGTAGTTCTGTCTAATTCTGTAACTTGTCATGAGGAAGTTTTGTCTGAGAAGTATAAAGCCCCAAAATATAATTAGCTAACAGTTTTCTTCCTGGTAACGCACCAGATTTCTGTGTCATTTTTTTGGGAATCATTCTAACCTCCTTCTGTCCCTCAAACATAAGTGAGAGGGGCCCGAGTACTTTTTCAAAAAAACGGATAAATAATTCAGGCCAGTACTTTTGGATTGTTGAAAATGTTTGAGTTTTAGAGCTTGAGTCTGGAAATAGAAAAAATATGTCCGAAGGAAGCTGTAAAAGTCAGATTACATCATTATCATAGACTCCTTGATTTAGTGTGTTACAAGGAAGGTCTCAGAGGATGCTTCATCTTGCCTTTACTTCAGATGAGGTCTGCAAAAAAAGAAGTCATTTTTAGTCTGCAAGAAGAGACAAAATGTAAGTGAGGGCACCCAGTTCTTTTCAAGTTTGGCTGAAATAGTCAGGCATTTTGTAAATACTTGCTACAGCCCTGAGATTGCATCATTAATTGATGCTATTAAAACTCTTTTCATAAGATCCAATATGATGTCTGTTGTGTGTCTTTGCATATCTGTGAATGGAATTAAAAGCATGAATGTCTCAGTTGCTCTCCAACTGGATCGTTTTCTCCTTCAAGCCATTGCCCATACGTGTGTTCCTCCTGTGTGTCTGTTCATGTACATTCTCTTGAGTTGGAGATTGTTTTTCAGTGCTGGACTACCACTGGGGTGCATTGTCTGTAAGGATGCAGCAGCTTTGTTCTTGAAGAGTTACATTTATGAAAGAACTTCATTCTTTTAGTTCTTGACTTCTTTTCTATTGCTCCTTCTTTCTCACTCTTTCATGAGAAGTCAGGCAGAGGCAACTTCAAGTCCTCTGCCCAAGTGTAATTCACAGAAAAATGCCTCTGGTTTTAAGATTTGTCCTTTGTGCACAAATATCACTGAAATGGCCAGAAATACCATCCCTGTTGCTTCATTGGAAAGCACTATCCCAGCAGGCACTCAGTGAGGGCTGAATGGGCAAGCTGGGAAGGAACGTCAAGAGAAACCATAGAACTATTTTCCAAAAATCTTTCATTTTTTTTCTCTCTGATGTTGATCATACCTACCTGCTTGCTCTGAGACATTGTGGGGAAAAACCCTGCTTTGGAGGAAGTGTTGAGTGTTTGTCTACAGCGTGGCTTCTTGGTGGAATTCCTCATGAGGAAGGCATTTCTGCAGCCTCCTCATGCTCAAGGTGGTACTAGGAGAAGCTAACCATTCTGTCGATCTTTCCCCCCACATCTGATCACCAAGCAACTGGAAGCTCAGAAAGGGGGTGGGAGGGAAGGAGAAAGAGCAGTTCTTAGTCTTGTGTCTCCACATGTATGTTCTTGGAGTCTGAGATCTGTCCATATTGTGCTGCCTGAGCCTCAGTCTGCGAAAATATTGGTGCCAAGAGATTTTCATTAGCTCTTCTATTGGTTCTTCGTGAATAGATGCTGCTTCCGAGCTATCAGAAGTTATTAATGCCTGCCCCAGTTCAGTCTGTCTCTATTGTCTTAGAACTATCTGTACCTTTGGTTGGTTCATCTTGAGACAGTCTGGACACCACTTTTGGGGAAGCTTCCTTATGAAACCTATCTCAGACACTCCAAAACTTCTGAGAAACAAAGTCATTTCCCACTGAGCGGAGTAGTAATTTTGAAGTGACTGGCCCTCTTCTGTGCCTCTTTCAAGGCATCTCATTTTGTAATGTTTTCTCTGTCTATCTGTCTACAGTACTGGTGGGTGGAGTGGGATTAATTTAAAAACATTTTGTTCTTAAGAGGTTGGTGATTTTAATTTAAAAAGATGAATTGACAAATACTTTTCAAAATACACAGATATCTGTGGTTTCCTGGAGTTTATATCGGTTCCAGGTGAAACCACAAAACTAAGGTTTGAGTATTCATAACAGCAGGAAAAAAACTAGGTTACTGTGTAGAAACATTGCAGTTATCCCAAATTCAACTGTGAATAGCCAGTATCTTGAGCATTTAAGGGAGACATTAACAGTCTAGGCATACAAAGATTCAAAAAATAACATTACTGGGGCTTCCTGATAGTCTTGCTCTTCCCCATCATTATTTCAGATGAAGTCATGTAGATAGTTTTTTAATATATATAATTATTAAAGTGTTTTGATCTCCAGTTAGAATAATCTAGCAGTGTCCTTGTTCAAGGGGAAAAAATACCATGTTTTATGGCCAAATGCATCAGTACAGACATATAGCGCTTTATGATACTCTAGGAGTAACGCAGGCAGCCATGACATAATGGCCAATTAAACTGGGTTTACAGCTGTTCTCTGAGAAGTTACTGAAGGTTATCTTCTGCCAGGAATGTATCAGGAATGTGTCTCACATTCCTACACCTACTCCCCTCCCTCAGCTGTAGCTTTCTTGTTATGCCTGCATCTTCTGTTTTTCCCCGCTGTGTTGGCCCGTATTACATTTTCCATCTTGTACGTGTTATTATTTGGAGAGCAGTAGAATGGAAGCTCTAAAGCCTTGTAAGCTGTAAAGAGTGCATGCAGGAGTGAAGAACTGGAGACGCTTGCACTTGAAGGTGAAGGAGTAACTGGTTTAGGCTGGCAGCAGAGGAAATTTTAAATCAGTATTCAAAGAGAACTGACAACCAGGAGATGAGGAAGAGGGATGAAACTGAAGCTTCTTACTTTCCTGAAAAGCTTCTCGGTTTCTGTGAAAATAAGGAAAGAACAGAGAGTCTTTAAAGACTCCACGTGATGGACATCTTACTGAAATTTAGAGGGCAGAAAGGAGATGGATTTTGTCTCGTCTTCTATATTTTCTTTGAAGATACCAGTATTTTTGTTGAGAGAGAAAAGGTTAGATGGAAATGATAAAGAGAATAGAAAGAACATTAGATCCAACTTCAATGGAATGAAAAAGTCAGGTTTTAGTGGGTGCCACAGAAAAGGAGGGCATAGAGATAAAGTTGTGAGTGGGAGAGATGTGGCTGAGATAAAGGCCTTCTGCTGAAAAGGGTAGTTAAGTATTGGAATAAGCCATCAAGGCAGATTATTTGAAAATTGTTAAAAACAGTTTTCTTCACAATGGTATAGGTTATTTTACTTTCTTCAGTGGAAGGAGATGGACCAGATGATTTTTTTTTTTTTTTTAAATGTCCTTCCTAGCCCTGTATTTCTGTAACTCTTTATAACTCTTTTTAGTTCTAGTGGCTTTGATCTGGGTGGTTGTTCGCTGTGGAAAATGTCGTGAAAGTGGTGAATCTTAAAGATGCTGAAGCAAAACGTGCCTCTGGAATTTATATCCTGATCCAATATAATTATACTTAATCTAGGCTTCTTCGCTCAAGCTCTTCTAAAGCCTTGTCAGCCAAAATGGTTCATAATGGTGTCTAGCAGGGTTTTTAGTCCTTTTAAATAAAATCTTAAATATTCCACAGTATTTTTCAGTTGTTTGAGCTTTTGATTAAAAAGTAGTCAAAAGCATGGTACTGATACAGGGCTTTAATTGTTTTCATCTGCTTACTGATCAAATGTTCAAAGGTCAGCGTTCCGGAACAGTGATATTTAATGCCTGAACAGCTCATCTTCATACTTTTATTTTTGTAGGACCTTGATGTTGGAGCAAAGAAGGTGAAATTATATGTTGATGAGAACCTTGTGTTTGATGGTGAATTAAAGAGAGCCTCTGGAGATCTCGCTGACCATAGCACTACAATTGACCTTACAGATCACAAGCAAGATATCTCTGCGTATTCTTCAAATGAAAGGAAAGAAGTAAATGCGCCTGCACTCATGGAGAAGAAAGCAGACCTACACTCTAGATGCTTACAGTCAAACAGTACTTCACTAAACTGGAAATCTCTGCCAGAAGAAAATCTTGAGCACAAGATGAACTCAATTAGCTTTACAAAGAAAAATTTGTCTGAGTTAGAGGATGATCTAAAAGCATTACCGTCTCAAGTTTGTGTAAAAGATGCCAAAGAGAATGCAACAGTACAAGCAGTTACGGAGCATGTTCAATCTGATGATGAACTTACTTTGAGCGAGCAAATGGAAAAGCTAACGGGAAGAAAATTGTCTGATTCTACAGGTGCAATTCCTTCTTGGTTACAGTCATCTTCCCAAGTGACAGAGAATAATCAAGTTACTTCCAGTAAGCAGAAGCCTCCCTGGCTTGTTACAGAACATTGTTCAGGTTTGAGATTTCAAACACAGTCAGATGGAATAATGAAAAACTTTTCAGATCTGACTAATGAGGATGTCAAAAGTCAGAAAAGTGAGCTGGGAAGATCCAGTAGTAGAAATGCAAATGGAGATGAGAGATCACAGATGCTAACCAGAAAGGATGGCGGTGTGGCCTTAGACATTTCGGAGCAACTTTCTAGCAAAAATTGCTGCAGCTCACAGTACCCTACAAGTGGAAGGAGAAGCGTCAGATCTGTAAAAAAGGAGGGTTTAAACACTATAAATCTTGGAGAAGGTGATTCCTCACTCAAAGGTAAGAGCTCACAATAGCAACCTTAGTGCAAGGGCTGACGTGTTCTCCATTTTGCAGAAGCACAGAATCATTTAGGTTGGAAGGGACTTGTGGAGATTCCCAGAAGTGTAGACAGTGGGATTTTATTTGTGGTGTTTGCAGTATTCTGTTTTTCTCTTTCATGCTACGACATTGCTCAGAGTCTCTCTCCCTGTTCTATACCTGGCATGAAATGCTCTTTTTCTGAAAAATTTACATTCTGAGTTATTGTTTTGAGATTTATTTGGAGAAAGCTGAAGACTAAATTTCAGTAAATTATATTCTAAAAGTTGACAGTACTGCAGACAGCAAATGCTTGCTAATATCAATGAAAATCTGCAAAACGATAAAGAAGAGTGACCTCAAGGTAGTGAGTAAACTTACAGAGTTTATGTGTGTAGTAGGTTTGTGTCTTTCTCAGTGGGAATATAAGCCGAATATATTTATTCAGAGGGAAAGGAAAACTGCCCTTATTCTCCCTTCTCCGCTCATGACGTTACATACCTCTTTCAAACCTTTCCCTCAGACATCTCAGCTCTTTTATGAAGAGTTTTCTAGTAAATTTAGCTGTTTTCTGGTCCATGCTTTTGATTAGCTTTGTTATCCTTCTCCAAACCGTTTTTAGTTTGACTGGATCCTCTTAGAGGTGGGGGATCCGGATTTGTGTAGTTGTGTTCTGCCTCTGGCAGTAGCCAGCAATGTGTCCTCAGGGAAGAAGTTCTTCTTTGGCATTCTGTAATTCTTAAGCATTCAGTAACGTGTCTCAAATGAAGAGAGTCTGGCAAGGCCCCAGACAATTGGAAGAAGAGGTTACAGAAATACAAATTGAAGTTTTGCATGTGATTTAGTAAAATTAACCATCCAAACAATTTACATGAAAGTGTAGCTAGCTTGCTGTATATTGTATTTAGGTATTTACATTAAAGTTATGGTCATAAGGGACAGGAAGTGTGCCTAAATGCAGGAATTCCACAGCAGGTATTGCATGAAGTTTTTGGACAAAGGTGAAGAAAGTGGTTCGCTCTAAATTTAGAATGTCTGAATTTTCCCTTCTCTGCCCCTCTGTGGATAAACCAGCAATTTTGTGAATGTATCTGAAATTATACCTCGAAGAAGAAAAAAGTACGGAAGTAGTTGGGATAATTGGCATCTTCCCTTCGCCCACCCACTCACCACAGCCCGTTTGCTGTTTCACACATTTTACAGTATCTCTGTTAGATTAAAAACTTGTCAACATTATGGAAACTGCAAATAAATCCCACCTTTGTAATTTATGTTTGGTTGTAAAAATTGTAACAATTTAGGTAGTTTTAATGTAACCGATGAGGGTTATCGTGATTCTAATGATAACTTCCTCCCTTTTTGCTCAGAGCAGGTTTTGTCATCTGGTGCTTAAAACTCCCAAAATGTGTTTGTCCCTGGGAAAATTGAATGCCATCGACCAGCTTTTGCTCTCTCAGCTTTTGCTCTCTCTGTACTGTACTGTGCAGGGTAAAGCCATCTTCAAAGTGGAGCTGCGTGAGCAATAACAACAGGGAAACACTTTTAAGTGTTTCCCTAAGAGTGGTGAATTTTAATTGGTATGGGGCTAGGGGAACTGCAGTTTCCCAACGGCAGTCTGTGACAAAGGGGAGGCTGCATAAGCTCACATGCAATGTCACAGCACATCTTTGGTCATGAAATGAATAATAACGAGAACAGCAGAAATTAGAGGTAGCATGTACATGCATACTGGGCTCGAGTTAATGTTGCTATAAAAACAGACAATTTTTGATAACTGGTTTAATGTGCAAAGGAAATGATGGAAATACGCTGACAAAATTTGCAAGTAACATAATTCGGGGTATTATGAGTTAAGAAGATTGAAGAACTGCACATAAAGATCAACTTGAGGACCGGAGTAATGCAATGGAATGCAATTCAATAGTACTGCTTGCAAGGTCATTTGGGGACTAATAACAAAAAATTAAGTTGTAAGCTGAGTAATCATCAATTGCAAATGACCGAGGAAGAGAAGGATCTTAGTTGAGTAGTTGCTAACAGATTGACTATGAAATGCCTGTGTGACGCAGGCGTGATTATAGCAGTGCACTCCAAGGATGTATCAGCAAAGGCATTTCTGTTAGTTAGGGAAATGTTAATATCTGAGCACAGGCACTCATGAGACGTCAGTTGGAAAGCTGCAGTTCTGATCATCCATTTTCAGGAAAGCTGATTACAAAGTGGAACAGATACAGAAGAGAGCTTTTAGGATGATTTGGGAAATGAAGCATGTGATTGCAGCATGGAAATATGATTGCTATTTATAACTGCAGGGAGTAAAAATGAGATTAGCCCAATGGAGGGAGAAGAAAGGTGTTTTTTTTTTTCAAGGTAGTGTTGCCCCAAAATGTAGTTTACTAAAGTTTTGAGAGGAATTGTATGGTGTGTGTTGGCAGCAGAAGTAAGGTAAGGGACTTGGTGATTCAAGACACCCTTCCTAAACCCACAGAGGAGATGCACGTTTGAGGTTTCATTATTTCTCAGTTTGGGGACAGCATCCATAATACACTCCTCTCGGGCATGCACAAGGCTGGGAATGCACCTGTAACATCAGCAAGTGGGATACTCTTCATCTACAGGCAGGGTTTATGGTTCACATGGCTCCCATAAATATAATAAATTTTAGATTCTAAAAAAAATGCCAAACCCTGTAAGCCTTCAACCATTGACCTCTGCTTTCAGGCGATTCTTGACTTTCCTTTCAGAGCTCCGCTTCTCCTCTTGTCGTTCCTTAATGTAGCTAACAAACCTATTAACCTCCCATTGAAAATCACTCCTATTGAACTGCTGTAGAAGTGCTTACAGTTGCAATCTCTGTACTGCTCGAAGTACTTAACATTAACAAAAAAGATTTTTAAAAAAAGGGAATGTTAAAGGGATGTCAAATACTCTTCTGTACGTGCTCATCCTGAAGTTTTTCAAGCTTTGACATTTTAAAGGGCTAAATATATATATAGTGTCTTCTTCAGGTGAATTGTGAGGCTCTGGGCAGTACTGTCTGGGATCACCCACCCCATGAGTATCCATATGGACAAGGGTTTGAACAAGAAAGGGACTTACAAATGACTGATGTTCTCTGGAATGCGTACCTTTGCTTCCTATCTGCATTCCCCTTGTGGGTGGGGAGGAGTGGCCAGGTTGGTCTCCAGCCTTTCATTCTGGAAGACAACCCTCTTTCAGGTGGTTTCCCATCTGCTTCAAAATTCTTATTTTTATCTCACTTGTCCCCAGTGTAAATGATTGTTGGCCATCGGTAGATTAGGAACATTGCCTCTTTCCCAGTGTTTCCAAAAACAATGTTAAAAGTTAGTCTTGAGCCATCTTTTGGGAAAACATTATTTTTGCATTTTACCGCAATTGGCATTTATTTTTGATAACCATTTGTTTTAGTATCCACTCAAGGACGTTGTACAGAAGTAAAATCTAGCCCATGGGCCTGTAACTGTTTAGTACTCCACTTACTTTTCTTCATTGATTTGAAGAAAATACATCAGTGACAGCTTTATTGAAAATCTTTGTTATCATCTGCTCTTAATTGTTTTGAGATGGAAATTAAGCAGCTCCTCGGTGCCGTCACAAGGAGAGCATGCTTTGCTCCCACTGTGCCCCTCTAATTTGTTGCCCCCACTGCGTTCCCATTAGATCCAGTGTCATTATCCCCCTTCTACATCTCACACTTGCTGAACAGTGAGGAAAAAAATGTTTGTACGTTACCTGCATAGAATTAAACGCTCACCTCATCCTCCTTGTATGCTGAACCTGCTTCTTTTTTCACTCCTTCTCTTTAAATACACGTGGCTGGTTTTGACAGGAAGCCCTCGCTTTTCTCTGTAATGCTTTAGAAACTTAACCAGTTCGGCCATTTCCAACTGTATGAAAGATCTTCTGCAGAAATGCAGACAGGTGATTTAAATTATTGCGACAGCTACACAATACATATCACTGGGCAACCCCCCAGTTTCTGTTAGCGTTGAGTCAAGAATTCGCAGTCTCAAACTTAGTTGCGTTTTTGTATCTTGGCATGTGCTCTGCTTTTCAATATGTAAAAGTGAGTGGTTTTGTTATGCCTAAATGGGGAAGGGAAATTGGGACGTGTAGCCTTCATAATAGAGAGGCAATACAAAAGTGCTAGGATAACAGAATTTCATAGTAAGGGAACACAAATATGAGGAGCATAATTCTGGAAAGTCAGTGTTGTAGTGGTTTGCTTCCAGCCCTGTTTATGCATTAAATGCCTATGTAATGTTGTTTTCAGATGAAGACTTTTCTATCAAGGACGTAGCAACCTCTAGAGCAAAGTGGCGCAATGAACAAGAACACACTCTGCAGGAGTCGTGGAACTCCTTGGTAAAATTTAATTATTCCCATCGTGGCCGAATCTCTAACATGGATTTTCAAGGGGATATCTTTGATGAGTTTCTCCATCAACAGAAAATCAACCGGCCTGGAGAATATCAGCAAATGAGAAAAGAGGGACTACAAACACTACCAAAAAGGCAAGAAGAAGAAAATTCTGTGGAGGCATATGATGGAAATGATTTTAAAATTCCCGTTTTACCTTACGGACAGCACTTAGTGATAGACATTCAAACAACATGGGGAGATAGACATTATGTTGGTCTTAATGGAATTGAAGTTTTCAGTTCTAAAGGAGAGCCTGTTCAGATTTCAAAAATAACAGCTGAACCACCTGATATAAATATTTTACCAGCTTATGGCAACGATCCCAGAATAATAACCAACCTAATTGATGGGGTAAATCGGACGCAGGATGATATGCATCTCTGGCTAGCACCATTTACCCCTGGAAAACCTCACTTTATCTTTATTGACTTTGTGAATTCCTGTCAAGTAGCTATGATTTGCATCTTTAAAGGCGAAATTGCGAAAGCTTCAGGAACCTTGTCTGGAGGTACGCTATCATTTCTTACTTTCTTTGTGGAAACAGCAGTACAATACAAAGAAATCCATTTAGCTTGTTTGTTATCACTTCCCACCTCGAAGCAAGCTGGCACTTTGTATAGTATTTAGTCCTTTTAATTGCAAAACGTAAGGCAAAAGCCACTGATACATTCTTTAATGATATTGTGAAGTTTAGTGATGCATAGAGCTAACCTCTGTTCTTAACCATGTCTTAGCAACAAGACCACATTTCAATAACATCAGATAGTCACTAGACATTTAAAAATTGCTGATTTTTACTTGTTTTCACAGATACAGTCTTTTGGAAAAGGTGGTGGAGAAGCTTTTTTCCTATTTTCTTTTGCATGTATTTGAAATTCGGCTGAGTTGTCTAGGTTTTCTGCTGTGCAGTATAAGTTTAAGAATGAACATACTAATTATATCAGTAGTCACTATCAATTTACCATATATTATCTTTAAACAGTAGTGCAAATTAAATGTAAAGAAGGACCGAAAATAGTTTTTAATCACTATATATTCCTTTATATGGTTTCTCCATTTAATTCTGTATGTTGCTTTCAGCTCCAGAGCACTTTGGGGATACAATATTGTTCACTACTGATGATGATATTCTTGAAGCCATATACTGCTATGATGAAACATATGATGGAGAAATGGAAAATGCCAGCTCCTTGAGATACGAGGAAGAGCTAAAGAGGCCAACAACTGCTGATAGGGAGGGAGATGAAAGACCTTTTACACAAGCAGGGTTAAGGACAGAGGATCAACAGGTAGGGGCCTCTGTGTTCAGAACTCTCAAAAAATGTCTTTCTGAAGCAGGACATGGAAGTAGGAGACACTGATTTCCATGATGGAGTAAAGCTCTGCAGAAGAACTAATACAGCTGTTTTTTCACCAGTTCAATAATCTATGCAATTTTTTTTTAAGCCCCCAAAGTCCTCCAAATTTTGGTTTCCCCAATTAATTAATAAGACTACAAGGCAGGCTATACTGGATTGTATATATTATTTTTTCTTCACTTACTTGGACAAAGATTAGAGGGAATTCTTTTTGATTCAGGTACTCCTGAAGGTTTATGCCACTGTCAGTGATTTTTACCACACAGTTATTCATGTAATGAGTAGCTGTGCTCCCTGTCACACCAAACCAAAGATTTTTCTTTATTTTCCACACAGAGGATGCTCTTGCTTGTTTCTTTCTCCACCAATGAAGTATCTGACATGAGAAGGATCTCCCTCTCTCAACCCTCCCCTTATTTTTTCCTCTTTCCTTTTTTGACTAGCACCTCCACAGGTCTGTGTGCATTTTGCAGCACAAAAGTGCCCCTTTACTATTCTATACAGTAGGTATTTTACTACTGAGAGGAAGGTTGTCTTTTCAAGCACTAGAGTCTTGCCTCATACCCTGTTGTGCCCAATGTTCCAGTGTCTGAGCAAAGATCCTGCAAGATTTTCTGCTCAAGACGATGCGGGGCAGTCTTTGACCTGATTTCCATCGAATCTTCTACCTTCTTAGAATCTTCACGAGCACCTACTGTTGCTTCAGTAAGGGTATCTTTTTCTAGGGGACACACTCTCACTTGTAAGTCTGTGAGAAGATCCAAAGCTGAATGAATCCAAATTCCAGCTGGTTCAGCTAAAGTGCTCCCAGTGACGTATGGTTCCTAATGAGCCTTGTGCTGTTGTCAGGCCTTTGTGTTCTATCTTGTCCTCTTCTCCTGGTGGCTTCTAAGACAAAAGAAAATGTTATGACATTGGAATTTGATCTCGCTGTTAAGATCATGAGTCAGTGACTCTAACTTTTCGACTTCTCCAGTGCTAGTTAACACTGGCAACAGTAATTTTGGTCCCATCTTTGCTTGCAGTATCTTGAACTGTTCAGACACCTTATGCAGTGCAGGATTTAATGAATGCAAATTGAAGTTCACCTTTCTTTTCTGGATCACTTGTTTATTGTGGGTATTCACCAGGACCTCTTCCATTCAGAAGCCTAGGCCTGGACTGTCTGGTCCTTACTCAGAGGCTCTGCCTTTTATTTTGCTGTTCATCTGTGATGCTCTTTATACTCCTTTTCTAACTCTGAAACATGCTATATCAGCAATGGAATAACAAAAGCTATGGTGACTGAGCCATTGATCTCCCTGTCATTCTGTATGTGCTGGTACTGTCAAGATTTTGTAGATGGATGCTTGTGCTATCAGAATGATACAGATCTCCTAGATGATTTGTCTTCTCCAGCATAATGTTGTCATTCAGACTAGTATTGGGTTTAAATAGTTGCTACCTGTTGATCATTTACCCTTTTTTTTTTTTTTTTTTTTTTCTCCTGTAACACGTTCAGTGGGTGAAACAGTGTTTTACTGCACGGACTACAGAATTTTTCAAAAGTTCTTACGGAATTGTCTTACTTTCTTGTTGGTATTATCCATGGTTATCTGTCTGTCCCATGGATTCAGTAATCCTTAACATGTCAACTTTTATAGCAGGACAGACCTTTATAGCAGTGACCCAACCAGTGACTGACTGTGGATGCCTAGGGAGAATGTAAGAATAGAGCAAACATGCAGTGGTGTTTCTCTGAAACACTCGTCCAGCCCCGAGAAATTTGTCTCACAAGGACTTTTTCACGTAACCTTTGTGTTTAGTATCCTGCCATGGATTTTCGTTGTGTTAATTCATCCCCTAGCTTTTTGAACCCACGGGCACTTTTACAACTTGTAATGCTCAGTGGCAAGTTTCCCAGCTTAACCTGCATAGCACAAAGAACCTATTTCTGGTCGTCTCTAGGTTCATTTAATGCCCCCCTAGTTTTTGTGTTGGAAGAAACTAGACAATTACTCCCTATTCTCTTCTTCAAGCCACTCGAGATTTATGCCCCTCTGTTACAATCTCTTCTAAATGTCTCTTTTCCAGAATGGTTAGTGCTACTTTAGTTATTCCTCACATGGAAGGTGCTATACAGTATGGTCAGGCGTAGGAGTGTAGGAGCATAGAATCATAGAATCGCTTTGGTTGGAAAAGACCTTTAAGATCATCGAGTCCACCCTTTAACCTAACCCTGCCATCCCACCACTAAACCATGTCCCTAAGCACCTCATCTATCCTTCTTTTAAATACCTCCAAGGATGGGGACTCTACCACCTCCCTGGGCAGCCCATTCCAGAGCCTGACAACCCTTTCAGTGAAGAAGTTTTTCCTAATATCTAACCTAAACCTGCCCTGGCGCAGCTTCAAACCATTAATAATAACCAATAACCATAGTAATACTTCCTACTTTTTATTGCTTTTCCAATAATTCCTGTGCTATGGTGGTCTTTTGTTCTAGCTGTAAGGATCTAAGAACACAGGTAGGACAATGTTCACAAGCAGAAGTTGTTGAAATAGTAGAATATTAGACTATATCTGAAAGAAAAGATAGTCGTCACAAGTGGAATGAAGGGATCTGAGTAGCCAAGAAAGGAGGAAGAGGGAGAAAAGAGGTGATAAGGTGGCTTGGCACAGATGGTTTATGACCTGCAAGGGAGGGTATTATTCAACATGCTATAAAACTGGTATCTTTATTGCATCCATGGGTTTTGATATTCAGTAGAGTTGTAAATTTTAATTCCCAGGCTGGTCTTTTAAAGTTGTTCTGAGGAAAAGGCATCAGACATGAAGGAGAGAGTCACTGTTTTGTGAGAAGGGTACACCAAATAGGAATTTTTTCCCCCCCATCTTCTGTGGGTTATCTACATGTGTTTATTTCAGTGCACACTTCTTGTTGTTCACTTTCACCCACTTAATTACCACAAGGCCATTTGCTACTTCATGAAGTGTATTGCAGTCTGGGAACATACACATATAAGATCCAGGATGTCAATGGTTATACTGCAGAGATCTAATATAACAGCAGGAGAAAAGCCTTGACAAGCCTTTTATTTTTTTTAGACACAATAGGGCCATTTGATGTATTCTGGATGACAGGAAGCCTACTTCAAATGTTGAATGAAGCTATAGAGAATGAGTCTGGACTTCTAATTTCCTATTTGGCTTTTTGACTACTAATGAGGATCGAGCTGATGTTTTTGTAGAACTACTTGCAATAATGCCACAATTTCATTCTAATCTGCTATTATTTTGTTTGGAGCCAAATACTGTATTTGTAAAGTTAGGATTGTCTTCCCGTGTGTAGCATTTTTATATTTACCTACAGTGAACATAATTAGCCATTTTATCATACTCAGTGAAATTAAGTCTATCTTCAACCCTTTGCAGTTGCCGTTTGTCTTTACTACCCTAACTGCCCCAGTATGATCAGCAAATTTTATCATCTCTTTATTCCCTTTCTGGTTTGCTATGTTGACTAGCATAGGCTATTACTAATTAGTATTGTCAAAGAAAATGCAGGCTTTTGCATGAGTTTGCTTGTTTGTTCTGCCCCTTGATTCTTGAGAAGAAATTGGGGGGGCACTCTCTGAGGTCATCATTTCCTTCCAGACTTCTTGTCTCTGCAACATATTTGTAACATGTTGCATATTATCATTAGCTGATGGCAGTTTCCAGGTAAATAAGAGTGACTTAAGAATTTCAGCCTCTTTAAGAATAGGTAGCCCACACTGGGGAGTCTCCCATTTAACACTCCTATATGTACTAACAAAAAAGATCCCTAACAGTTGACCTTCTAAGGACCCATGTGATCTTCTACATTTTGGGGCATATTTTCCATTATTTGCAGGACAGCCTGAATGGGGAGGCAGAGGGGACATTGATATACAAAAGGCTAGATGTAAACCTGCTTCCCCCCCCCCCAAAGGAAAAAGACAAAAAACCCCATCAAAACCCCCCTACTTCATAAACAATATGTCTGTAACGTATATATGATATGGATGTTCATCGCACCCGTTGGCTTACTTTTTAGGTCCAAGAGCCAAACCCTCTTTCTGAATGTATACCCAAGGAATCCGGAATATTTGCAGGAAAATGTAAGTACTTACCTTTACTTCTTGCTTACCCAGCCTCCCCCCAACATGTTACCAAGGAGGATCTGATTTGTCGGAGCTGTACAGAACTTTGTGACAGATGTCAGGTCTAGAATAAAGAAGAGTAATTGAATATTTAAGGCAGAAGCTTTGCTTACTATGGCATTTAGAACATTATATCGTAACAGTTGGCTTTTAATCTCAGAAAAATAACACTAGCCATTTCCCTAGTCCCTGAATGGGATTTGTAATAGCTGTGTCCATTACCCAGTAATTCTCTCCCAATCCTATGTATTTATGTAGACTGAATGGATTTCTCAGATCAGATTGATAATAGAAACCCTACAGTAAAGCTAGACCAGAATGATACATCTGGTACTTAAAGTACCCGATTTCTTTATCCTGTAAAAAACCAACTCTCTGTGGGCCTTTAAATTATTTTCCAGAGAGCTACTGGATGGCCCAGAAGTTTCAGTATCAGTTCCTGGTCCTTTGACCAGCATAAGAGAAATTGGGTTCTTGGGCCTGGCATAAAGTCAACCTGTGATGTGTGCTCTGAAAATACACACAATGCTGTGGCTTATTCAGCCGCACACCTGTGAGCTCTACCTATGATCTGTGCTCTATAACCCATCAACTGTATCTAGATCTATGAACTTTATCTATGAGCATGTCTACAATCAGTTCATATCTGTGAATTTAAGGTGCCTTTCCCTCTTCCCGTTTCTCAAAGTGGGTGAAAAAGATAGTGAGGGTGTGGTTCAGAGCTCAGCAGATACAGTCTCTCATACTGACAAGACGTTGTTAATCAGCTGGACGGCTAACTGGTCTCTACCAGACAAAGAGGTCCTGATTCCCATGAGTTCCTGCAGGTAAATTGCTGGAGAAAGCTAGTTGTGTTTAAGGGAGGCTTTCCATGTCTTGTGAAATGCAAAGATTCCAATTTAGTGTCTTACACAGGGAAAAAATTGGCACTAATTGCTACAAGGGACTGCCTTTGTAAATGACCTTGCACAAAAGCAAAAAACCATCTAGAAGCTACAACCTGACTTTGGCCAATGATTTCCATGTACCCTGTCCTGCCTGTGTATATTGTTCCTTGTTCTCCTTATGTGGAGAGCCTAGGTGGTCCCTTAGACCTGGAGTGAGAGTCCTCTTGCTGCTTCTAGTTTTGGGGAATTACTGGAAATTGTGCAAAACTTAGGATCAGTACTGCTTCTTTCATCTGGGACTCCTGGTCATAAATTGTGCGTGGACTCACTGAGGATTTGTATCCTTGACCTGTTGTAGGCAGTTTTCATCTCTTTCATCCTGCTGCCAGTCATGATGTCAAGGCAAAATAGTACCTCCAAGTGTGATTATCACTGGTACGAAGTCCAGCTAGTGTCTAGCTATTAAAGGTGTCCCTTGGGAATCAATGCTATAGTCTGCACTGATTAATGTATTTTTCTTAAAGAACCTGGATGATGGGATGAAGTACAATCTCAGCAAGGTTATGGATGATACCAAACAGGGGAGTGGTTGATATGCTGGAGGGCAACGCTATTCTGTGGAGGGATCTCAACTGACTGAAGAAGTTATAACCTTATGATGTTACCTAATGTAAGCTCATGAAGTTCAGGGCAAATGCAAAGGTCTACATGTTTGATGTAATAACCCATGCCACAAGACAGGCTGGGGGCCAGCTGGCTAAAAAAGCTGCTTTGCACTGAAGGGCCTGAAGTCCTTGTAAGACCAAAACTTGAACAAGTGTCAGCGGTGCGGCCTTGCAGTAAAGGTGGCCCGCTGCCTCCTGGGATGTAAAAATAAGAGTGCAGCCAGCAGGGCAAGGAAGGGGATTCTTTTCCTGTATTTGATACTTGTGAGACTGTATTTGGAGTATGGTGTTAAGTAAGGAGATCCCTAGGGCAAGAAGAAAATTGACATCCTGGTGCGAGTCCAGTGGAGGAGGGTGACCAAGATGGTCGGGCAGCTGGAGTACCTGATGTGTGAGAAAAGCAGGAGAGAGCTGGGTTAGTTTGTTCATCCTGGAGAAGAGAAGGGGAGATCTTCTTGCTGTCTATAGCTATTGGGAGGGCATAGAGAGGACGGATCCAGGCCGTTCTCAGGGATGCACATAGGGTTGGGTTGAGAGGCAGCAGAAACAACGATGTAGTAAACAAGAATTTCCAACTGGATATTAGGAAATCTTTCACCCTGCGGGCAGTCAAACACTGGAACAGATGCTGAGAGATGTTTTGAAATCTGCCAGCCTTGGAGATGTTCAAACTTCCACTGGGTTCCTGATAGACCTGATCTAATGGAGATGCTCTGAGCTTGGAGTTGGACTAGACACCTCCAGAGGTCCCTTCCACCCTGCATCATTCTGAGATTCTGTGAAGGCATTGGCATGGTGATGTGAATATTAAACCTTGTGTGGATAGCTGCTTCACCCTGTCTTTTCCCTTTTGTTTGAAAATATACTCTGGTTTTGCCTGAGAACTCTTGCATGCTTGTGCACTAAGCAAGTTCAGTCTTAGCAATGGCCTTGGGAATAGCATCTCATCTCAATGTAGCCATAGCTCCAAACTTGTCAGGTAATAGAACTATTTATTTCTTGGTGTCCTTGCAAATGCTAAAGAGATCTTACGCCCAAGTGAATTTATGTGTGTATCAAGACTTAGTCTTGTGTAAATTGCTCCGGCTATTTATAGGTAATTGGGCTGGATGGCTTAATGGCTTTAATGCTTGTTTGTTTTTCAGGGCATCATGACTACTGGTGCTTCTTTAGACAGTATCCAACCTGATTATTTCTGGGCTTCTGTAATGTGTGAAATGAAAGATATTTTTTATTTACAGTGATGGATTTTTATGGAACCTGATCAGATTGGAATATTACTTGTTATATCTGTATATGCTATTTGTATTTTTTCCGTAAGGCATGAAACAGGTGGATCTGAAGATACATGTACAAATTTTTGTCTGCCCAATTTTTCTTTCCTATTTATTTTCTGGAGATGCAGACTAATCAACATTGCTGTTTTCCCCTAGTGCTGTCCCATTAAAATACTTCCATGTGTCTGGTTCTGAAGTGAAGACAGTAACTTAAACACACTAGTACACCAAATTTGTTTTTTGGTTTAACTATGAGTTGGTGTTCTCTAATATTGTACAGATTTATGAGAGCCTGGATTTATACAAGCCTGTAGAGTCATTTCGCTGGCAAAAGATGATCGATAGACTTCAAACTAATAGGTCTTCTCTGTCTCTGCATAATCACAAAATCTGTCATGTAATTGCTTAAACGCATGGTTGAATTACTGTCAGTCTACAATCTATCTAATGAGAGACTTGATAACGTGCTTGATCAAGGGTTGTATAGTTACAAGCGAACGCGATGTTGGTAGCCCACTAAAGGGGTCTAACACAGATTTAGAAGATAACTATGCTGTTCCATGGAGGTGGGCATGCAGACAGCATATAAAGTTATTTAATCTAAACAAAAATACTTCTAATTGTTGGGGCTTGCATGCATGCTTATATGGGCTCCTTCATTCAAACTAAGTAAGTATGTATATAGACATATTATATGTATATTCTTTTATATAGGCCTGCAACTGAATTTTACCATGACCTGGGGAGACTGTCATTACCTTGGACTGACAGGACTTGAAGTGATAGGAAAGAATGGTCACGCATTAAAAATAAGCACAGAACAGATTTCGGCTTCACCCAAAGACTTAAACGATCTTCCAGAGTATACAGGAGATTCCAGAACATTAGAAAAGTAAGTAGTAAAAGAGTTGAGCAAAAAGAGTTGGATTGTGTAAGCATTTTCTGCAGGGCTTTTTTTTCCCTTCACGCCTGTTGTTTCCACCACAGTTTTGAAGTTTGTCAATTTTAGATGCAATTTACATCAAACTTTGTGAAGTGACAGAATTATATAAACTTTCATTATGTTAACACATGTTAAGGTGGACATGCTTTCCATACCATCAGAGCTCATTCTTGGATTTCACGAGCTACCCAGGAACAGCTTGTTGTAGACACGTGAATGAGATGTTTCCAAAAGATGGTGTTTGAGTTAGGACATGATAAAATGCCTGGTTGGTATCTCTGCTAAGGACTTTCCAGGCAGAAATGTGGGTGTTCTGTAGCATCTGTCTATGCATATGCAGTGATATTTATGCAGGATTTCTGGATAATTTCAAGGAAAATTTTCAAGTTAGCAAAGGGTGAGGATATGTTAGGGTATTGCACAAATAGGTGCCATTCTTTTGGCAATTCTGCCACGCGGTATTTTTTTGGGGTGTTTTTTTTTTTTTTGTTTGTAATTCCAATGACGTTTTATTCATTGATAAGTATACTTCGTCAAATTAACTTCCTAAATGGTAGCAGTGTAGAAACCATAGGCTATAGGTGTGGAGAAGACTTGGCATTTGTTGTTACTGAAGCTGCACCCTGTTGTTACTGAGTCTTATCATGATTTTTAAAGGGTATTTTCAGGTGCAATCCTGTCCCCTGGCATGTTTATAGTCTTGTGAACAGGTCTGTGAATTAGGACTTCTCTTTTCAAAGTCTTTGTTGAGTCTTCCTTAGAATCTTGTATTTATCTACATGTACGCTAACTCTGTTCTTTGTAATTTCTGCTAATCTGATACAGGTGTCAAGCATAATTCCTCAGTTCTTCTGCCTATTTTTATGAAAATCTCTTCTGTAGGCATCAAGATCCAAGATATCTTCCAATGAGATCCCCCGCGATGATGAGGTTCTGGTGGTGGAGTCTCTCCAGACTCCACCATGTTGGACCCAGATGCAAAGAAGTCATTTAGCTCTTCTGTTGGTTCTTATCTTCTCCGAGTGTTCCTTTTACAGCCTAGTCTTCTGTTGATCCTACAGAATTTCTGGCAGGCTTTCTGCTCCTGATGTATTTGGGAAATTTTATTTATGGTACCTTTTGCTTGCTAGCCTTCATGCTCTTTTTTTTTTTTTTTTTTTTTTTTTTTGCCCGTGTGTATGCATTTAGCCTTCCAGAGTTTATGATCCTATCAATTTAGAGTTTTTTGATCATGACTTTTGTTGAAAGATGGCTTGTAATAACTTCCTTTATCCTGCCACTGAACCAGGCTGGCTTTGATTTTTCAAGTCCTCCCTCTTTCTAATGTCTTTCTTAGTATGTGGGATACATTTGTTCGGTGCTTCCAGTATGATATCCCTTAATATTCTCCCTGCTGTGTGTAATGATTTTATTTTGTTTTATTGCTCCTTCTTTTTTAACATTCTTCGTCATTTTTGAGCACAAGAAATAGGGACTTCTTTTGCTTTTAATATTTCTGCAAGCATGTTGGATTTGAGTACGCTACCGTGCTCTTCAACTGTAGCATTTGGAATAGGTCCTGTGAACTATTCAGGACCAAGTCAAGGATTATATCTTCTCTCATGGGCTCCTTAATCAGTTCCTCTGTGAAAGAGTCATTATTCAAATCTCTTTCTCTAAGGAACTGCCAAGTCTGGCACTCATTCTTCCGTTAAACTTTTAAATAAATAGTAAGTACATAGGGCAGTGTACAAAAGTAATTACAGTGGGCAATTAATTCGTACTCTCCTTTATTCCATCTCTGTCTGCCATATTTTGTGGTAGAAAAATATTAAGTCTGAATCCCAAAATGAGGAAATAATGGAATTAACTTTATCTAGTTAGCCTGTAGTCTGTGCTCTTACAAAAAGACATTTTCATGCTGGTAGAAAGCTTTTTAAAAAAGTAGGAATGTGCCTAACTGTGCGCATGAAGAAGGATGGGGACAAACTCTGCCTCTTCTCTGGGTTATCCAGCTCCTCATTGGGTTCAGTGCAGTTGCATTGGCATAGTAACACACTGCAGAGTGCCAGGTACGCTAGTTTAGGCATGGAACTATATTAAGAAGTTATATTGTGTCCGGGCCTTAGGGTTTTGCCTTTGGCCATTTTGGCACAAAGCTGGCTGAGCTTTCCTCTGCCTGCCCCTGTTCGCACAGGGGAAACCTAAGGATTTTTCTGTTTTTCCTCAAGTGGACCCAACCAAAGGAAATATAGTTTTTTCTCCCCACACTGTCTTTAATTCAATAATTGCATATTATTTTTGATGTTTACTGTGCTTTTTAATTGCATGCACATGGGCACAATAAGCCCTGGAAGTGGCATTTAGAAAAAAATTAACACCTGGTAAAGTACCTGATTTTCATGGGAAAAGCAAGCTTTTCCTTTTTTGCAGCTAATGGATTTTTCTCTTTGCAGGTTAATAGATGGGACTAATATCACAGTAGAGGATGACCATATGTGGCTCATTCCCTTCTCTTTTGGAGAAGATCATCTGCTCACAATCCATTTTGATAAAACTGAAAGTATTGCAGGGCTTCGCTTTTGGAACTATAATAAATCTCCAGAGGATACCTTTAGAGGGGTAAGTAAAAGAAAAGGAGCACTGCCAGCAAAAATATACAGCAGTGCATTGGAAAATTGCTACTGTGATGAATGAATATAGCTGCCTTAATGGATGATCATAAATCTTTCTAGATTGTCTGAGTCTGAGTTTTGTGGCAGGTATAATGCATTTCTGCCTCCACAAACAGCAAATATTGAAAAAAAGCCAGAGATAGTTTAAAGAAATCTTCACAGCTGATTTTTCTAAGAGACACATACAATAGCACATATTATTTTCAAGATATATGATTCTGAAGTGGTATCCTCTCAGTATCTAGTATTTAGGCCTAACATATGATTATTTCCTGGAACATAGGGAATGGTAGGACAGGGGACACTTCTCCCACACAAATTCCATGTAGGTAAGTTACAGGAGGCCAGTCAATCAATGCCACCTATTCCAAGAAGCAAAAAGAGTCTCTAGAACTCTAACATTTATTAGGGAAAGTTGACATCTTCAAACAGTTTGGCTAAAGTAGTTTACCTAAAGATGTGTAACATACCTTCTGTTTTTTCCAAATTGCTTGTTTTATTTTTTTTTTCATATTGAATTATTGGAATTGACTGGCCGTTGGCACCTGTTGGAGATCACGTTCCATCTTACTGGCACGTTGAGTCTGGCTGTCCCTCATTTCCCTGGCTTTTCTCAGCAGCTATGCATGCACTTGTAATGATAATGAAGAAGTAGTTGCTGTTCACTGCACAGGAAGTTTATGAATCCATCGGTTTCCAGGTCTTCCCCTTCACATATCACTGTTGCATTCTTGATGTCCAAATCTAGTCAATAGACAAGAAAAAAAATGTCGGTATGTATTAAAGTGGAGAGAGACCGGACAGAAAGAATCAGCAAAGTTCTGGAAAAAATTCTGGAATTGAAGTTGGAGGCATGGATAGGCAAGATAACGGCAAAAGTTGCAGAACTGCTTTTTTGTGTAAATTTACCTTCCAGGAATTGCTTTAATATGAACACTACATAAATAGGAGGTGTTCCCTCTCCACAACAGAGCCCTAGCATCTTTTAATATCAACGTGGGGTGTTGTTGAGTGCCTAAGACTCCCAGAGGGCCAGAGCATAAGATCTTCCATTTAAGCCACAAGTGATCTAGAGATTTTAACATGTGGCACATGATTGTGTAATACATTGCGTTAACCCAACATGTTTGACACATGGGAGGGTTCAGGAGCATGCTGTTTACCATCTAAACATACCCCCTGTATAACAACTAGGGGTTTTTTTAGTAAGATAGCTTATTAATTGATATGGTTCGGCGTAGAGAAAGGACTCTTCCCTATGAGAGTGATACAGCTCCGGGACAGTATGTAGTGATGGGAGGCTTTCAAATCTAAATATGACAAGGCTCAGAGCAAGCTGATTGAGCTTTGCAGGTTTCTCTGCCCTGAACAGGAGCTGTGACTGGAGACGTGCAGAAGTCCTTTCCAACCTGAATCTTTCTGTGATTCTGTGTTCAAAATCCAATATGAAGAACTGTCTTTAAGGGGTGATGTGGAATGTTTTTCACTGCTGTTGTAATCCCAAGCTTCTCCAGGGCAAAGCACGAGACATGTATTTTTGTACCAAATCAAGTCCCTGTATGTGTGTCTCAGTTATTAAAGGAGGGTAATAAATAACCAAATCCCTAAAATCTAACATGGAATTTGGTCTTTGGAGGCCAAACCAAGAAAGAAAGGAAGAGAAGTATATTTTCACAGTTTACTTTGCTAGGTAGAAAAAAAGACGTGAGTCTGACAAAGTATGCATGCAGGTGGCACAGCTGTAAGTCCCGTAACAGTTATTGGGTACAATTTAAATGAGTTCATACCTGCAGTCCTCTAAAAGGATGAAATAAATTATTTGGAAAACTGAAGATGCAAGGTATCTGCTGGGCTACAGTAAAGAGGCTTTATTTAGACTGTAAACCTAGGGCATCATGACATGTGTCTCTTGAAGTATTGCTGTTCCTTCTAAGAAGCAGTCCCCAGGTATGAGCTATAATGATTTGCTAGGCAGCTGTAGACTGGTGGATTCTATTCGCAGCTTTAGTACGAGAGGGTAATGGCAGCGAACTGTCAAAATGAAGTCTTGTGTACTATTTCCAGCTCTGTGAAAAATTACCTTGTGAAAGCTTTGTTATGTGATTTGTAAAATGCTATGTGTGATGGTTGAGTGCCTTCTCAGATGATGAAAATTACTTAGAAATGAGGGCTGTAAAGGGCACATAAATATAAGCAGCTGTGGTATAATAGGTAAGATTTCATCTCTAAGACTCTAGGCTTCCTGTTCAATATATTTTTCCTAAACTAAAGTGTATTTCAGTGGATTTTTCACTTCCTTTCCTTATCCTGGCAAACTGATTCAGCGCAAAAGTAGCATATTCTGATAGGAAAAGGATATTTCCTTCTTTGCTCCCAAGCACCGTACTTGGTACTCATAAAAACATTCTCTTCTAATTAATTTTCATGCTGTTTCGAAAAATACTGAGCGCCTCCTTTACTCTAGTACAGTTCCCAAGGTTTTCAAACCAAGAAATGTTTATGTAAAAAAAAACAAAACAAAACAAAAAACCAAAAAAAACCCAACAACAAAAAAACCAAACCCACAACAAAAAACAACCAAACAAAAAAACCAAAACAAAAGAAACCCAAAAAACCCAAAAACAAAACCCCCAAACTTCCTGAAAATTACTTTCCTTTGGGATATTGCATGTATAACTTACTGAAATTGTAATTGAAAAAAAAAATTGTTTACAAATGGACAAAAATATGAAAACTGTTACGAATATCGAGTCACTGATAATATACGGGCTTTGCAGAGAACTCTGAATGTTTTTAAGTTCTTCTCAGATAGACACCTGCAATGGGAATTTTAACTATAAACATTGCATATATTTTTTAAATAGAAATCCTAATAATGAAAATTAAATATTTGCATAAAAAACTAAGTTAATCTCAAATTGACATGTATACATCAGTCAGTGTGAAATCCAAAGATTAGAAAACTGACTCACATTACCTTTAGACTAAATTAAGTCTTTTGTTAACTAACTGAATCTATTTTGGTTCGGTCCATTAATCAGCAAGCTTTCGTCATAGTGCCAGTTACAGGGCCATCTTGTTATACTTTACAGGTATTATTCCTTCCCTAACCAGTAGTTAGTGAAAGACTCAGTGCAATAACTACTGCCTGTGATTAACGTTACGTTATATTTAACATATTTCAGGGCAAGATGCAGTGATAAGTGTTGCTGCCTGATTGAATTACATGACTGAGATCATGCATACAACACCAGATGGTGCTAATGGGGGAGGGTGAAGCGGCCAGCACTCCGGCATCATCTGATGTATGATGTACTGACATATATACATATGATGTATGATGTACATCATCTGATGTACAAGTATGCCTGAATTATTTAGTTATCTTCAGAGATTGTATAAGATGTCCATGCATCTATGATGTGGACACAGCTCAATTCTTTCTGCCTGGTAGGGTACCTCTTCTTTATTCATATGCCCTTAGGTTACATTCAGCACTGCTTGGTAAATGAGTTTGCATGATCCTGGAAAAGTCCAAGTGCCACCTGCCACAAAGATAAATAGAACTGGTGAAATACAGGCTTTCTATAAATGCAAGAGGGACACAAAAGATCTACTCTTGAGAGAGCACCAGGCTAGCTTCAGCCAGTGCTGAGCAATCAGGCCTGATCTAGCAGTGCATTCAGGTGCATGATGACTCTAACTGTCTCCTCAGATCACCTTTATGTCATATCATAGAATCATAGAATGGTTTGGGTTGGAAGGGATCTTAAAGATCTTAAAGAACTTCACCATTTCATGGTCACTGCAGCCAAGGCTGCTCTTAAACTTCACATTCCCCACCTGCCCCTCCTTGTTGTCGCTTGGAGAAGGAAGTTATCACCAATTCATTCCAGGAACCTCCCAGATTGCTTATGCCCTGCTGTGTTGTCCTTCCAACAGATACCGGGGTGGTTGAAGTCCTCCATGAGGACCAGAGCTTGTGCACATGAGGCTGTTCCTCTCTGTCTATAGGGGCCTCATCCGCTCAGTCTTCATGGTCAGGTGCCCTGTAGCAGATCCCCACTATAATGTCAGCTGTCCCTCCTTTTAATCCTGACCCATAAGTTCTCGATCAGCTCTTCATGCATCCCCAGGCGGATCTTCAGGCACTTCAGCTGGTCATCAACACAGAGGGAGACAACCCCTCCTCATCTCCCCTGCCTGTCCTTCCTAAAGAGCCTGTATCCTTCCATTCTAACAGTCCAGTCACAGAAGCCATCCCACCACGTCTCCATGATGCTGATAAGATCATAGCCCTGCATTTTTTTTTCTTTTTTTTCCCCCAAATTCTCACCTCTCTCATCCCCATCAATGTCAGCTATGATGCTCTGAATTGCACACCGTTGGTTGCAACTGGTATCTGCCGGGTTAGATTTTCTTTTGCCAAAGGATGTCATACTATAGAGGAATGAAATAAATATAACAAAATTAGTGAAATTGTTTCAGCTTCTGAAGTGAATGCAATTCTTTTGGATCTATTTTATTTTATTTTATGTCATGTTATGTTATTTTAAACAAGGCTAAAGTAGTCCATGTGTTACTGGATGGTCACAGCATCTCCCCACCAGAGGGCTTTCTTATCCGCAAGGGACCAGGCAACTGCCATTTTGACTTTGCCCAAGAAATTCTCTTTCTTGACTATCTGCAGCCCCAGCTGACGAACAAAGTACAAAGGAGGTAACGTAGGTTGTTTTTACTATCTGAACCATACAACTTCTCGTAACTTTTTACTATTCATTCATATTCTCTGTTGAAGCCAATTGTATGAGGCACCTGGGTGAAAACATGAAGCGCTTCAAGCAAAATGTTTCATTGAGTTTTAACTATGTACTGTTAACCAGATTGTATTGAGATCAGAGGACAATCTAGTCCATATTTGCAGGTGGGGGGGTTGGGGGGTGATGTTTGTGGAGGCTTAGTTCTTTGGGTTTGTTTTCTTCTTTTCTGAATGAGCCAAGG